CAAACACTTAAAAGTTTTTAGCTTAAAACTTGCTTGAAATTAATTTTACCAGCCTCGTATTCCTCTTATAAAAAAACGCTTCGAATGAATCAAAAGTTGATCTTTAAAGGTCAGTTGAAAAATTTGGCCTATGTTCAAAGACATGACCTGACCAGAAATGGTCATGATGCATAGCAGGATATTAGATTCGTATCGTGGAACTTTACGAACACTTTAGACGATTTCATAACTTAACATGTCTATCAAAAATAATTATGACATGGCTCATATATAAGCTGGGTGTGTGATCATGCTTACTAGTATGTTTAACGCAACTGATAATGTTCTGTTGGCCACAATTTCTATATTTAATTTATTCTCCCGGATTTCATATTTTTTATTAATGACACCTTGACGATGTCGAGAAAAAAACGCTTAGGAGATTTAACAGCCTGAGATACATTCAGTATAAGGAAGGGTCAAGGGTGCTGGATCCCTTCCGTCCTCGCTCTCCTCAGGAAAAAACAATCCGCATCGCCCCTAGTCTTCATGCTTCCCTCTCCGGACTGGAGGTCATCCCACCAGCCAACCTGTAGTTGATGTCGGATCCATTCCATGACACATAATCCTCTTCGGGTGACCGTTTGGGAGACGGCTGGACCGTCCCGACAGGGCAATCGTCCCACGGGAACAGTCTCGCTTCCGCAGATCACTGTCGCTGGCTCGCACAACCCAATTACTACACCAGAGCATAGTTATGTCATAGCTCTGCAAGGGCCTTTTCAGACTGAAAAAGATGGCTCCCAACAAAACAAACAATTTTCTCATTCAGTATTGTATCTCATCAAGCACCACATGTTTTCAGAATGTTTATTATGCGTTCCGTCCAAAAAAGCGCAGTTCAATTTTCTCCCATTGACTTGAACGATCTCAAAATTGACCCGGCCTTTCTGTCAGCAATGTCAAACTTGCAAAGTAAACGTTTCAAATACATATAGTGTTGCCCATCGAAATCGCTGAAAGTTCTAAAGCGATCGGTTAGTCGGTGTATTTAGATATGATGAGCACAGGAACTTTCCTTGAGGTAAGGTCACTTGACGTGACCTGCAGGTGTTATGACCTTGAATTGAAAGAGTTGGGCGAGAAAAATGGGTTATTTGAAATCTGAAAATGCTAGATATTAACAATAATTGCAAACACTACCCCGGCCAAATAGTGAGTGAGAAGGGAGCGATCCCCCAACCCCATGTTTAGCTCCTATAATTGAGCTAGCTGCTAGAGCCTCGCGGAAAAAAACGAGCGCTTGCTTCGTTACGTGACGCAGCGACTGGTACCCCATTTTAAAATATCAGTGACCTCTTAGGGCAGGTCAAGGGCCCCAAGGCATTCGATCGGTTTTTGGTAAATAACTTTGCAAAAATGGTCGCATTATCGTCATTTCGATGCAATCGTGTTTTCTGTTCTCAGACGCGTCGATTTATATGCTTTTTTGTTTAGGTGAAGCAATTTTGAATGTTTACCTGAGGTCAATGTCATGTTAGGGCAACACAGGTCACGAAGCTGTTGAAAGGAGGACATGTTGCATAACATTTGATTCGCCAAGCTTGCAAAGTCCAAAGATGGCTGTCCCGACTGGCTAGCTCATTTTGATCGGGAGTTATTGACGAAGCACTCCTATCACCTTAGTGACGTCATAAATGACGTCACGCAAGGTCAACATTGCAAAAGTGACGCATCTAACCTTGCAAGCAAGGAGTGCATCAAATCACGATTTTGTGTGCTTGAGGTAGTTGGAGATCGTTCCCGGCGCCAGAACAGCAGTTTTCATTTTTCCCCATTGGCTTATACCTAATGGTGAGGTCACGAAAATGACCTGACCTCATATGACCTTTAGGAAAAATCCGAGATATACAAGCTGTGAGACTCATAATGGATACTAGATCCTGCAAGTTTCATTTCCCTGTGACATCTCCTCTGGCAGTGAAGGCGTTGCGAAGTTGCGACATCTGAAGATCGTGCAGAGGCTCACTTATGACGCCATAGGTCAGTGACCTGACCTGACCCAAAATGCGGTTGGTGTCAAAAGATCCGGCTTGAATCAAATGTTAGGTATGCCAAGTTTCAGCTTTCTATCGCCAGCGTGTTCGGAGCTATCGCGAAAAAAAACCCTATTGGGGGCGGCACCCGCCCCCCCCCCCTCGGCCGGCGAGGGTTAAGACGCCATGGTTAAGTGACCTGACCTGAAAACGTGGTTGATGTCAAATGATCCGGCGTGAATCAAATGCAAGGCATATGAAATGTCAGCCTTCTATCATCAGTGTGCTTTGAGCTACCGCAAAAAAAAAAAAATACATGGTGGCGGCATTCACCCCTTCTTCTCGGCCGGCGAGGGTTAAACCTCGCTTCGAATTATTGCAGATAATGATGCAACTGAAAACAAAGCATTTATCTGTGTCTAGAACGGCCGCTGACTTGTTAGACAAGATCCCCAATCTTGATTTGCCAGATGGGAATAAAATGCTGGGTATGTGATACATATATACCCCTCGATTTGCTCTCGCGCTATGTCTATTTTAATCATTACTGTCGCTTTTTTATCCGAGATGATGTCGCCACTAAACGGGTTGTTTTGTTTGCTTGCTTGCGTTCAATGATCATTACGGCTTATTGAAGGGTTATGATAAAATAGGAATGGGGCGAGGGAGGATATGCACTGCGTCTGCAGGTGTTTAATTTAGATCACAAAGGCATCATTTCCGGCATAGTGCAGAGTCACTATCTTCCCCCCTCCTCCGCACTGCGGCATCTCTGCGCCCCTCACACGGCGTCCTCACTCCACGGCCGGCCGCCGCCAACTGACCCACTCGCCGGGCGCCGCGACCTGACCCGTGTCGCTGCCGCGGCCTGCGCAATAGAGTCGGGGCTGGAATCCGGGGGTTCGGCCGGCCGGCCGCCTCTGGAGCGGGGGACTTTTTTTGTAGACCTACTGTACAAATTTTCTAAATGAATTTCGGGAACGGGTCCATCTGGTTCCAATGCTGACTTAGACCGGGTCTGACCGGTTCCGGGAATGTGCCAGTCAGACCGGGTCCGGGTCCGGCCTCCGGGTCCCAAAATTTTCCAGTTTTGCCACCTCTAATAAATATGTTTTAAAAAGTTTTGTCACATCTATGTATCACTTAAATTTGATACCTTATATTTGCTTCAATGACCACTCCAGTTTGTCTGCTTTAGCTTACATTATTGATTAACAGCCTGGTTCATAGGCATTGTGGGCCTACATCCTACATCAGCAAATACACCAGCTATCATAACTTGATATTTTATGGGGCACCTTAACTCTAAAATGAACTGCACCTGTTGTTAGGCGATTTTGTGATTAATTTGTGTGACTTGGCTTTGTTTCCAAATTTCAGTGCAAGGTATGTCATCAACTGAGCTGATGAAGCTTAAGGATCACTTGGTATCTAGCATACAAGGTAGGTATGTCTTGCCTGGTTTGTTTGCAAAAAGCAAAACATGCCTGCTTACAGCTTAATTGATCAGTTTATGATTTATGAGCTATAATGATGTTTGTTGCCATCTGACCAGTTAATTCCCCGGTCAGCTGTGTCGCAGCAACTGGGCTTGCTGCTGCAGGAGCGCGACTCGCTGCAGGAGGAGGTGGCCGGCCGGCACGTCACCATCGCGCAGCTGCTGCGCATACAGGAGGACCGCGCCTCGCAGCTGGGCGTCCAGCCGGCCGTCCAGATGTCGGCTGTGCCGCGCCGGTAGCCGCCGGACGGCGCTCCGCCGGCCATGTGATACCTGATCGCCTCAGCTTTACACCATTCCGCCTACCCGCCGAACGACCGGGCGCGCGGGGCCCTCGAAACGTCGCGACGTTGACCATGACAAGCGATATGCCTACATTACGGCGTAGCTACGGCGGGTTAGTCCCATAATCATCGACACTAGACAGTCATATCAGAGGAATTCTACAATCCCCAAAAACTCCAGTGTGGTGCCAATTATTTGCAAAATGACACGTAGGACCTGTTGCGTATTTAGGGTAGAGTGGCTAGAGACTGGTCTGCGATTTTTACGCAGCTAGTTATTTCTAGTCCTAGTCCCTGCATCTAGGGCATTACCAGGACGAGTTGATTGCCTAGTGCGGTATTATGGATACTGTCCGGACTTCCGGTGATACTCGACTGTGACAAAGCGCGAAATGAATGCCTATAACCTACGTAGTTAATAGGCGAACGTTACGATTCCATAATTATTACAGTTCCTTGTACGTTTTATTTTGACGTCGCTAGCCTTTATCACGAGTGAGACTTTCGCGGCATTAGCTTTAGTGCATTGAGGACCTGTGGCCCCGACTTTTCATAGCGAGGCGGCCAGTAGGCAGACGATTTACATATGGCGCATCCTGTGGTTCGAGTTGATAATATTTTGTGATATTCCGGTGGCAGGGTCTGGGTGCAGGGAACTGCCTTGGTACGGGGCTTGGGCAATCAATGGTACAACGCTCGGCTAGGGCCCTGTTTCACCGCCCGACGCTGCGCGCGCTGCAGCGCGCTGGGAGCTGAGGCGTACCCCTGACGTCACTCGAATGACGTTGCGTGCGATCCGTTAGCTTTTGATGAATCGCGTTTGGAACAGAGGTCCAAAAGAACCCAGTACAGAGAGAACAGAGGTTTGAGTGCGAATGCTGCTAGCGTGCTGATGGTGCTGACGCTTGGGTGCTGGCGTTTTGCGATGACATCATAGCGTAGCGTCAGAGGGAGGTTTGTTGATATTGCCATGGAAACCCAACGCGCCGACGCGCGCAGCGCACTGCAGCGCTCCGCCGTGAAACAGGGCCTAGGAGACGTTGAAGGCCCGGTTTTATTTTCCCGATTGATATTATTGAGTTGTCAGTTGATTCAGTTGAATTCGGGCGATTGCGTGATAACTTGAACGGGCTATACTGCGTGTAAAATATACAAAGTACGCTATACATCAACTTTTCTCCGTTATTCAGATATCATTTTTGATAAAGTGGATACGCGTGTGTATTTACAATGACTGACGATGAGAATAATGACACGGTTATCACACTTTGTGCGAATCACGTCAGGAACACCTGTGCCACCACGCTGTCTGTCTGTGACGGACTAACTCCGTGTTTGATCTGGGGCAGCGCCGGCAGTGGCGGCGGCGGCCGCGTGGTGGGCACACGCGCGCCGCCCGCCCGCAGCTCGTCCCGGATCTCGGTCAGCACGCGCAGCCGCTCGGCGTGCTGGGAGCGCAGCACAGCCTGCACACCCTCGTCCCAGCGGCGCTGCTCCTGCAGCCAGTTCTCCAGCCATGTGACCAGGTCGCGCTGGCGCGCGGCGCGGCCGGCCCGGCGCCGCCGCGGGCCGGCCGCCGTCACCTTCCTGCCGGTGCCCGGCGCCAGACTGGCGTCGACGGCGGCGGCGGCCCGTCCGGCGGCGCTGCCGGCCAGCTCGGGGATCAGCTGCACCAGCTCGTCCACCTGGTAGTAGCAGTCCGACTCGGCGCCCTCGCCCGTCAGGTCCCACCGCGTCTGCGCCCGTCTGCGGCACAGCGAAACACGCCGTCAGAGAGGACTCGTGTGACTGAGAGAACGACAAGATTTAGGATAAAACGATTTTGACTAGGTTTCACAAGATATGATCACTGGGTGGGAAAGACGACTTCAAACAAGATGGGCGTTCACCTACTGATCATTGATCCCTTTTCTAAAAACGCCACCTCGTCACTTTCCTAGTCCGATACTTAACGATTACACGAACCACGAACGACCCCTTCTGCACACCAAACACGCCGTCGTTACTAACTTGTATGCTTGGAGCAGCGTCTTCATGCGTCCCTCGCACTGTTCTGGCGTATACTCCATGTGAATGTCTCGCATCGCGTCGGAGATATCTGTCCACAGGGCGCGCCGTTTGATGCTAGGATCTGAGAAGTCGGCGGCGCGCGCTTTCAGCAGCGCCAGCATTGTCAGCGACGCCTCGCGGGTCCAGTTGGTCTTCACGTGCCCTGCCGGCACTGGACAGGGCGTGCACAGTGTTCAGTATCAACGAGCTCATGGGGAGGGAGGGGGCTGGAAAGCGGTGTGATAACCTTCACTGGACTGACAAGGGTGAACAGCGTGTTATTTAGCTGGAAAGCGCGACTTTTCACTAAAACCCATGGAAGAGTGAGTGGATATTTCCTGTGAAAGTGTGGTGCATACATGGTGCTGGATACGCTCAATAATTTTCATATAACTTAACCCGCGCCCTGGTGGGGTCTGTTTATAACGCGACCTGGTGGGGGGGGGGCTATTTTTTGCCCCCCCCCCCTCGTATCTCCGAAACTACTGGACGGATCCGCGAAATTCAAACGGCGTTCGAAAGGCCTGTCAAATTTGTCGAAAGAAACCAAATTTCATTGACCTCGGGGTCACCGATGACGTCACAGGTCAGGTCAAAGATGAAATGTTTCACCGTTCACGGGTCATCTAGGGAATGCGCTATAACACCGAAGAAAACGCATTTTGTCGAGAATCAGCGATAGGGCGTCAGTCGCCTAGTACATATGTTGCTATAAGAGGTCACTGACATTACCAGGTCAGGTCACCAAGGGTCACAGGTCAGGTCACATGAACCTAACTTTAGGTACTAAGGTTGTGCGATGCATGTTTTATGGCCTATTTTTCATTTCCAACTCAATGGTGTTGGTTATAAGACTATCAGGTACGGCTTAGGTCACTTTCTGGTGAAGGTCAGGTCAAGGTCAGGTCAAAAAAGGTCAAATTTTAAAGTTGATAGTTTTGCATACAATGGGTATTGATTCGATGCAGCTCGTCACGGGGAGTCTAATGGTGGTCTTTGTTTTGCGCTACGGGGTCTAGAATTGCTAAAAATTGAGTTTGAAAATTTGACGTCATCAATTTTGAACCGTTTTTTTCGCTATAACTTCGCCAAAAAAAGAGGTATCAATCTCAAATTTGGTATGTGGATAGAAGGCGGTAAGGACTATCACATATATTCCGGTTTTTGCGAAATTCAAAAAACTTTTTGGATTTTTCGGCTATTATATTCAAAAATCTATTTTTTATTTTTGGGGGTCAAAATCCAAAAATTTCAAAAATCCGAGATAGCAGTTTTGTAGCCCTGTCAATTCTACAGCTTTTATGCTTCATCGTTTTTCTGTATCTGCAAAGCTATAGGCCTGACAGCTCTTCCCGGGAAACCCTTTTTTGGGTCGAAAATGGCAGAACATGACGTCACTCTGACGTCATTTCCGGCCAACCTATCATAGCCTTTGGAAAAAAAATTTGGTCACAATGTGTAAAATTGATGTCCGGGAGGGTACTGAAAGTTTGGTGACGATCGGCGCAGCGGTTCTGGAGATATATCGAAAAGTCTGGAGGGGGGGGGGAAATAGCCCCCCCCCCACCAGGGCGCGGGTTAATCTATAACTGCATTGTGAGCTTACTTGATAGCTGACATGACAAATAATTGGTCTCCTATAGAAGCCAGAGCCAGTGTCATAATATCAAGATTAGATATCAACTATGCGCGGCTTATTCGGGATATTCAGGAAGTGCCGGTTTCACCAAGTGTTAGATCTCGTAGCAAGAACGATCCCACAATAGCGGGCAGTGGCGTACTCAGACAAATTAGCGCTTAGGAGGAAGCAGGCCAACACTAGCCACTGCCTTCCGAGTCGCCTCACCGGTCGCTCGGTCGACGCGGCCGGTGTCGCCGCCTCCCAGGCTGCTGTCCACCATCAGCTGCGGGTACTGCTCGGCGATTTCACACATCTCACGGAAGAAGGCCGGCGACGAGCTGGAGGCCTGCGACTTGCGCCACATGGCCTTCAGCGTCTTCCAGCGATTCTCGCATTGTAACTGCAGGCGAGAAGGGCAACGTCATTATCGGATAATGGCACATCACGATGAGCTTCAGAAGTGGAACGCCAGCTGTAAAATGTCAAACAGTGCCTTTGTCTGAGAACTACATAGGAAACGTAGGGATAATTTCCGGAAAATTAGCGATAACGTGAAAATGTGAAACAAGCAAAACACTAAGCCCTGACTCTGAAACTCGTTGCCTGTGATGACACAGTGGTGTAACAGCTGCTAGTGAGACATAAACATATTGTTAATAAAGCACATATATCTATTATGCGGTCATCGTGAAAATCGTGGCAATTAAATTGTTACCTGGCTTATGCTGAAACCTTTTTCTAGCATTTTGTCACAGGCCTCTTTCCAGATGAACTTTCGCTTGATGTTTGGGTTGCTGAACTTGTCCGCGCTGCTAGTGAGAATTTCCATCAGCGCCAATGTGTCGTGCTGCCCCCAACGGTAATCTGGAACAATGACAGTCGCGCAGTAAGCTTAGTGTGCCGATATCGTGTGTCACTTGGAAACATAAGTAAATGACAGTCATACAGTCCGACAGTGAGCCGAGGAGCCACTATCGTAAATCACTCGGCAATGTATGCGTAGGAGTGGGCAGCAGAGCAACTCCTCAGAAGCTGATTTACCTACCGCTAACATATCGGCAGTTAAATAGGTCCAAGGTTCAACCAGGTAACCTGGAACGCTTCTCAAACGTCGCAGCTATCTCCGAAACAACACCTCACTCAGTGTGCCGTATCTGCCCCACCCAGTGTGTCGTCTCTGCCCCACACCGTGCGCCGTCTCTGCCCCCACTCTGTGTGCCGTCTCTGCCCCCACTTAGTGTGCCGTCTCTGCCCCCAATCAGTGTGCCGTCTCGGCCCGCCGTCAGTCAGTGTGCCGTCTCTGTCCCACTCTGTGTGCCGTCTCTGCCCACCCTCAGTGTGCTGTCTCTATCCCACTCAGTGCGCCGTCTCTGCTCCCACTCACTGCTGCCCTGGCTGTCGTCCCCCACTCACTGCTGCCCTGGCTGTTGTCCCCCACTCACTGCTGCCCTGGCTGTCGTCCAGCTGCTGCGCCAGGCTGCGGCCGGACGCCTGCTGGGCCTCCGACTGCCGCGGCGCGCCCTGCGCCGGCTGCTCCGGGGACTGCGGCTGAGTCGAGTCGACCACAGAGTCCGCCGCCAGGCCGCACTGGTGGCTGACACACATGTCCAGCGTGCTGAATGTGGTCTTACACTGGGCGCACTGGTACATGGTCACCTGAGAAAACACGAGACAGACGTCAATATGGCCTACCGACGGTGTTTTATGTACGGGTTTTTCTGAGACTTTTCTGGCCACTAAGCTATCGTCTATGGTCCTTACTATGGTTTCAGTCGGATTGCCTTGTCAAGTAGTGGCAGTAGTAGGCACCGTTGAGAAACCTCTGTTTAATTTCTGTTAATATCATTGGAAGCGTGAATTTGCAATACATATCGTTATCTGAAGTCAGCTGATCTACGTTATCACACAACCACTCAACCATTCCACTAGTCCCCATCCCCCCAACACAGACAAAATATCCCTCCCGACAGCCCTCGCCCCTCCTCCCCTCCGTACCTTGAATGGCGAGGTCGGCGGTTGGGGCGACTCGGGCGGCTCAGTGGGCTCGGCGGTGGCCAGCAGGCCGATGTCGTCCACCGATTGGCTCAGCTGGTCGGCCCGCACGCTGTACTGGTGCTCCAGGCCGTCCGACTTCTTCTCCAGCCACGGGTCGGTCTCCATCGTCATGGCCGACTCCATGGCGGTGGGAGCGGTCTGCCGGCGCGGCTGGTCGGCACGGGCCGGGCCGTCAGCGGGTCGGAACGGCGGCCGCTCGCCGGGCAGCACACGCGGTTGGAGCGCAGCGGCGCAGACACAGACTCGAGCGAATACGAGGGATGATAATCGACAGCGTGCACCAATGTCATATATGGAAGACGCTTCTCACATGACCACTGAACTCCAACATATCCACGGCAAGGGCACAATGTAACGCATCAGTCTGATATGTAGTACCGTCAGTATCACCGGTACGATTATCACAGCAAACTGACCCTCAAACTCTTCTTTTCTCGTCTCAACAAATGACAATCACCGATCATGTGAAACCCCATAAATTGCTAAAAACACTAGTCTATTTAGGTAAATAAAATCACTTTGGTTATATTCTTCCCATGCAGTCCAGGCACCAATAGCGTCCAAACACCCAGAAATGCTCTCCACGCTCGTCACCACATCAAACACGGTAGCCTCCGGTCCGCGGTCTCCGTGTCCCGCCCCTGCGAACGGTCAGTAGTCGCGGTACGAGTGTCTGACGGGCGGCCCGGGCCGGCGCCGCTCCCAGTGCTGGGTCACCGGCTCCCGCTGGTAGCGGCGCTCAATCACTTTGTCAAAGAACCGGCTCAGCTTGACGGCGTTGCTGCTGCCGGCCGCCAGCGAGCGGGCGCTCAGACAGTCGACGGTGATCTCCTGGGCGCCGCACTCGTCGGCGAACCGGGACGCCTGTCGCTGGAGGTGGGCGGCGCGCCGCGGGTCGGACAGGTCCGGCTTGCAGGCCACCACCAGCACGGGCAGCTGGGCGGTGGCCGAGCCGGCGAACGTCTCCGGGTCGAAGGCGGCCGACTCGCCGGCGTCGCGGCTCAGCACCTCGGCCAGCCAGCCGGCCAGCGTGTTCTGCGTCTTGCGGTTGCTGAGGTCGTGCACCAGTATGACGCCGTGCGCGCCGCCGTAGAAGACGCGCCTGGTGTTGGCGTGCGCCGCGCTGCCGCCCACGTCCCACAGCTCGACACAGTACGTGCGCTGCTCCGGCAGGCCCTCGCGAAACTCGTGAATGCGGACGTCCACCGCACAGCCGATCGTCCACGATGGCTTGGCACATGGCTCATTTTGGCAGATTAGGTGTACCAATGATGTCTTGCCTACACCGGAGTCACCAACCACTACCACTTTCACTGTCTCCATGTCACTCATGCTGATCCAAGTCTCAAGTTCATTTGTCTGCAATAACTCCTAAATGAATCAAAGGTGAATAATTATGATAGTTATGATGGTTACTAACCCATGATAGTTCCCCAGAAAAGGTCAATACATTGTGTATGATTAAAAAAACATATTTCTGTTCTCCTTGATAATATTTCAATATTGATCAATGATCGTGACATGTGGCAGGTAGTGCAGTGCCATCAAACAGAAACAGTTATGTAGTATTGAATTGTTGAATGGAACTGCACAAATAGCCTATTGCATATAACTTCATAACATAAATGGCTAGCAGTTCAAATTGAAATGCAAATGACCTATCCATTCCCTCAAAATTAGCAAGGTAGGTACCTGATTGGCATTACATAATGGATGCAAAAGTGGTCTTATCTTCAGCTTACTGTGCTAACCAATCTGGATTCTGGAATAAATAGGCCACTTTTCGGTTATTTAGTAAAATAAAGAGAAAAACAATATTAAATGAGCAAAAGGATATAATGAGGTAGGAAGGTACTGCAAGATTAAGATCAATGGCCCATTGAACTAAAATAGCATTGCAGTACTTAGGTATCCTGAGTCACACATATCTACCATTGCATGATCCTGCTTGCATCATTTGCTTATTGAACAATTAGCATGGAGTCATGCCACTGTAGTGGAATGAGCACTGAGCAGTCACATCTCCACCCATTTCCATGTTGATGCATGCCATATCGGCTGTAACTATGCATTGTCATTGGCACTGCTCACTACCTACTGATTCTTTCTCCTTTCAGGAGAAAGCAGAAGAATTAGGGTGAAAAGCAGGTGTTAAGCTGCTAGCTAGGGTAATCACTGTAGCAGCACAGTGTGCAGAGTGCATGCTAAATCAAAATGCTGTTTTACCCTTTCACCCTTCAGGTCACAAAAGTATTGAAATAGTGGCATGCAGTTTGCACTGATGGTGCCATTTGATTTTTGAACATATCTTTGATAATCATTAAGCATGTCATAAAAGCAGGCATCATTTAAATGCAGGACGACGGTGAAAACATGGCGCGGTAAAAGTATACATCGAGTCCGAGTGACTGTTAAAAGATCAAGTTTTCATATTCTTACATTATTTGACATCCTGAATCCAAAAATGATACTTGTATGTCTTGGAAATAAAACAAAAACATAATTAAACCTGAGCTCTGTTCGCACCCCGTTTATTTATCAGCAGGCGCCAGGCTGCGACCATGCTGCTGCTTCTTGGCTCCTCATTGGTCGAATTCAAGTGGTCTATTCGTTAGACCAATGAGAGGCCAAGCCGCGCCAGCAATAACTTCCTTATACGGGGAAAACCGACAGCACGCTGATATAAAAACAGCGACCGAACAGGGCCCTGACCTAACCTTACCTATTTACCTACAACCTACCAACCTCACAACCTAAAACCTACAAACCTACCAACCTAAAACCTACAAACAAACCTACCAACCTAAAACCTACAACCTACAAACCTACAACCTAAACTAACCTAAAACCTAAATTTTTTGCTGTTACATATTTGTATCAACAGCGTCACAATTGTCCACTCGGACCTAAAATATACTAATACCCAGGGCGCCTGGGGCGAATTGATCAAGGCTCTGGAAATTCACTCGCACAAACCACGTGACAACCATTGTGTAGAAGGCATTAAGAGGGGAGAACTTCTATAGTCACGTGACCAAATATGCCCTGCGGCGCCCTGCTTTCACCGATGTCCTAAATGCACCAAAATATGGGTCTTCGCCCGGGTGGCCACATCATCACATTCACAATCAGTAACCATACTGAGCTGATGTAGGTACATATCTACTTAGCACAGCATTTTTATGATTTTTGCCAGGCAAATTAGTTTTATCCACCAGTGAATGTATTTACATACAACTTTGTTTCATCACATTCAAACACAGCCAGCATGAGGTTTGAAAATACCACTCCCAAGCATCCTCTGTACACCTTTCCAAACACCTCAAAGTTATAAAAAAGACGTCCATCCACTTAGAAATATCCTTGGAAATATCCACATCCACATGTAAACAATAATGAAGTCTACTAGTTTACTTACAAATACGGTAGAATTGTCTTATATTCTGCCAAAACGTAATCCGTTGTCCACCGGGTGCTACCAGCAGCAAGAAGACGATCATTGGGTAGATTCAAGGATCGGTTAAAAATGTTTGAGTTGTCTGTCAAATTGCGTAACAACAATCTGTGCGGTCAAGCAGCAGAGCTGCAACACAGCGAGGCTTACGGAGACTAGTTCATCACAATTCACAAATCTTCGCTGTGGCCTGTGAGGTGTCATATGACCGCTTCATGTACGTACTAAAGTGCGTTATAAATGCTTTATCTTTGTAAGCGCTTGTAAGCACTGGCGGATCCAGGAAGGCGGTCTTGGACGCGGCGGGAGGGCTTACCCACAAATTTTTTCCTTTAAATCCCAAAAAAATTCATCGGATTTCGATTCCTTATGCACTGCTGCGCAGTTTAAAACAGTTCCTAATAAAAGTTTAGTTTTCGTTTTATCCTAAAAAAAACTCAAGCTTTCGTCGAGGTCACCGTTTCTTATAGGTATCTTGAGGTCACCGGTATCCGGCCAGAGAAGGCGGACCGGGACTCTTATTCGCGACGGAGTGCATGTCGAGGACTCCTACGGAGTCCACTCTCAGAAAGGCGGGCCTGACTCTGAGGTGGACCAGCCACCGCCTGACACGTGTGGGCACGATCCATCGGACCTACATCGAATCAAACGTTGCGCGATTTAGTGCATTGATTCGACTTTTATGCCATCTGACGAGACCCGAGACCTTGGAATCCGACACTCGTACCTAATATGACAAAATATCTATTTACGGTTAACACTGTTGACTGCACACACACAGTTCATGGATGGCTGTACAAAGTCATGAATACAAGGCAAGACTATTGGAACACATCATGAGTTATTTACATGAAAACAATGATACACTAACATGTATGAAATGAACACGGCACTGCATTTGTCCGCAGTCACCAGATCTCGCGAGCACGGGGAAGGCATCTTCACGGCATGGTCGCCGGCAAGACACACGGAGTCGCGACAAGGATGTACGCACATTCAGCATACTGAGAACCAACGCATTCTAATAAACATTCCATGTGCACCTCAGCGACATCGCTATGATCTTCATCCGAAGGATACAGGTGACCTTACAGTATGGGACCCTGGTATTACCAGGGCAAACCGGTTCATCGCTGTGCTTAGCAAAATTGGAACTAGAGCGCAGATAACAGTTTCACAGCCAACATAACTTACAACGCCAAAGTAATTTCGAAAATTAGCAACAATACCGGGAACCAACATCCATCGTTTACAGGTTCGCATTGCCTGTAATTGCGACTAACGCTTCCAAAGAGTAGTACCTATAGTAGCAAATATAAACCGATCCTAAAACCTCAGTCATTTGGTGATTTTCAGTGGAAACCAAAAAAGGTTCTAATCCAATCCAGACGCTCTCATTGTTCCGGTGTTTTGGTGTGAAAAACATTGATAGCCAGCTACCTAAAGCACGTGCTAGACGTGGGCTCACCGACCGCTCGTCCAGCAGTGAGCAGTGCAGCTCAGTTGAAGCCGGCCGCCATCCTGTGCCGCATGCGCTGCTTGTTGGCCAGGTTCTCGCGGTGCTCGGCCTCCATGACGAGGCGCGACAGCTCGGCCGGGCTGTAGCCGAGCACGGCGCGCAGGTCGCAGATGAACTTGTACACAAACCGCTTACCCGGCACCTGCAGTGGCAGCGCCAAGGTAAATGGTGATCGGGCTTAGTTACAAATGGTTCAGTCTTCCCCGATGTTAATGACCCAAAGTTCGAATAAACTGATAAAATGCGGCAAAACCATACCGATGAGCTTAAGCAAGAGCAAAAAGATTGGAGGATGTATATGTAGATACGGTATAGAGGCTGTACCATACGGTCAATACGGTTCATGAAAAGAAAACAATCGATTATTGCCCACGCCCGATTATGCTTTACCTTTTGCAGCATATCACTGTCATAGTAATAGCGCAGCGCGCGGCTCAGCTTCTCGTAGTTCATGTTGGGCTTGTTCTTGCGCTGGCCCCACAGGTGGGCCACCATCTCGGGGTCACTGAACTTGAACTCGCCCTCTGTGCCGACCCAGTGGATGATCTCGCGTCGCGCCTTGTCCGTGAGCAGCTCCAGCAGGAACTGCCACAGCTGAATGTGGCCGGCGGTCGTGTCTGCGGGCACCGCGCGGATAAACGGATGGAGCTCACAGCGCGCCGCCCAACGCACAGTGCACAATACATGGCACTGCGTGCGACGTAACTACCCACCAATTGGGGGTATGAATTGCGCTGTGGCATTGTGACGTGAATAATACCACGTAAATAACTACCTTTGCTCATTTTTTTTTTTAAATATCACAAAGAGCCAACGAATGTCCAATTATCGGTAAAAATAAAAAAAACACAATCATGAATGGTAAACTACGAAAGGTTAGACAAAGGCATAGAGCATTAACTCATCAATGAGCTTACTATTGGCGAATTCGGGTCCATCCAGGTTGAATTTCGCCTTTATTTTCTTCGGTTTCACGTTAGTCACGATTTCTTCCCGTTGAACAATGGCTGTAACATGTATCAACCACTCTGGTCAGTAAGCAATTATAGGAAACAAGGAAGAAACCCATAGCAAACGGGTTTAAAAACGAGCTAAGCGATGATAATCGTGAGATAACAAACAAAGAAAACTATGAGATAATCTTATTGGAGCAATATAGGACCGACGTCGAGTTGAATTACGGCTAGACAATGGCGGCTGAACAAAAGCCATTACCGGTGGCTGATACTCACCGACAAACTTGCACTTCCTGAGCAGTTCCAGATGCGTCCAGAATAGGTCGTTGGCGTCAGTGGGCACGAGGTTGGCAAACTTCTTCTTGTCGATGCCGCACAGGTCCACACCTGACGCATAGATAGGGTTCACTGACATGGAATTCACGACATCAGCTTCAGCTAGTTTTTGCCCGTCTCTCCCACCCCGTCAGCCTGTGTTCCCCTGGTTGAGTGTTGAGTCAGGATGTGGTGTACGCACACGCAGTAGGATGTTGAATGAAATGCGTTAGCCGAGATTGGATCTGTCACACAGCTGAGTCTTCCAGGCCAGCCTGTTGAGTCCTTTGTCTAAATGTCTGCGATGATGTAACCGCGCCTTTCGAGTCGGGTGTGCGTGTGTTGGCGCGTATTTATCTCTCACCTGCCATCGTTTCAAACTCTGACCGTCTGATGGCCGCTGCCGGGAACTGCTCCAGCGCCCACCCCAACCAGTGACGCACGTGCTTGTTGCTCCAGGACAACGGATCTGAGGGGTGGAGAGCGCGTCAGCGTGGCCTGTAGCCGGTGCCGCAGTCTGCGTATGGATGATGACATGTTATCGCCCAACAAGCCACGGCCAGTACTTCCTGCAGCTGTATCGTAACATTTACCGACAAACTCGTTGTTAATTACGAGCCATTTCCATGTTTGCTGAATAGACATTGGCATCACATGTGTGTCGTAGCTTCGTGCTGACCTGTGGGTATCTTGAAGGTGGTCTGGAGTTCCTTGAACTTGGGCGACAGTGCCCAGCGCGTGACCTGTTTGGTCTCCGTCTGAGGCGCCGCTTTGGCCGGGCTGACGGCGATCGGGTCTGCCGCGGCGGGCGCCGCCGTCGGCCGTCGCCCCTTGGCCGGCGGCCGTCCGACGGGCCTCCGCTCGGCGGCCGGCGCCGGCGGCTCCACCACCAGGTCCGGCAGCACCAGCTCATCTGGGGAGCGGACAGACGGCTCGACAGCCAGGTCTGGCGCCAGCGGCACGTCGGGACTGACCGACAGCCGCTCGATCGGCAAGTCCGGCAACATGAACTCATCATCTGAGGATCGAACGGACGGAGGTCAGTGGCGACGGACAGAGCGGAGAGAGAGGCCGCGCCCCGAGCCCAGGACCGCGCGCCGGGGTATCCACGAGGAGACCGGCGCCGCCTGCTGTTACCACCAACCGTGGTGCAGCTCGCGGGCACAAGCACACAACATGCAACACACAGTTAATGCAAACATAAACGCTAATAAATTATGAAAAGTGGCATGGCAACTGTACTAAACTAGGTGTTTACTTCAAACAAATAATCATTTGTGGAACATGTGAGCAACAACAAAACAAAAATGAGCGAGCATCATCATGCAAGTGGAAAGTTAGTGCTGACCGACATCCGTATCTGTAGTCTGAAACGTTCGTAAACGTTGCATTTGCGCCGACTTCACACCTACCGGCCCGTTAAAAGCGTTTTCCCGCATGTGATTAAAGTGTGCAAAGCGTGATATGTTCAAAGTATCCTATACTTTTAAGCTAAGATATTATGTTAAGGGAAATTCTACACAAATTTGCATGCAAATTAAACATAGGCAATGTACAAAAAGCATGTGTATAACCAGGCAGTGTTGTTGATATAGGTATGGGACTTCAGGCGGTCAGCCCGGCAGCCGAGCCGCCGACCGCTGTCAGGACCGGCCATTCCTGTTCAGTCTCCCATCCCGTCTGCGCTCGCTTACCTTGCACGCCCTGCATCTCGACGTCGTCCTCGGTCTCCTCGCCGTCGGGCGTGGCGGCCACCTCCTCCAGCACCGTGTCCAGCTCCTCGCCCGTGAGCTCGCGCTCGGCCGGCTCCGGCTCCGGCTCCGACTTCCGGCCGGCCTCCGGCGGCGGCGACAGCGGCCGTTTGACGCCGCGCGCCGCCTGCCGCTCGCGGCGCCGCTGCTGCTGCTCCATGTACTCCTCGCTCGGCTTCAGCACGTCGATGATGTTGATCATGCGCCGGCCGCGCGAGATGGAGAGCTCGACGTTCACCTGCACGACGCCCTCGCCCTCTATACACTGCTCGGCCAGCGTGTGCTGCGGCTCCAGCTGTGAATAACCCAACACAGGTCGTTCACACTATCAGCGGTAACAGAAAAAAACTAACACATAAAAAAGGAACATTGAAATCAAGCTGACATTTTATAAGAGACATACACCATTTCAAAATCAACCGAGATAAAGCCACAAATAACAGACCTGTTGAACGCCCTGCAGCCAGTACTCGTAGCCGGACAATTCCATGCCCATACGCTGCTCCAGCAGGTCTCTGAGCGAGGCCAGCGGCTCCTGCAGGCCTATGTGTTCCGTGAGCTGTACGGCGCCCCCTTCACCCTCGCTGGAACGCCTGCAAGGATTGACACAGGTGAGAACTACACGCTGCAGGAGTGAGGATATATCGCGGATGAACCTGCCATTGGAACACGCAGCAATCTAAAAAAAAAAAAAAACTGGGACCATGATGCAGCACAGGATAAATACCCCTTGACATAGCAAACTCAAACGGTCAATACACTGTCGATAGCCCAATATCATTGCTTTGGCAACATAAAGTTGAACGATGCTCAGAATGATTGTACGCATAGTCAAATCACATACTTGCTTCAAATATAAATAGCTGGACATGGAGCGGTGGTAGGTAGCTAGTCCGACCGTCAGCACTGACCTGCGGCGCTCGCCGGCGTCCATCTCGAGGTCCTCATCGGCCAGCGGGTCACCGCCGCCGTACGTGATGGCATTGGGCGGCGAGTAGTCGGCGTCCACGTCCGAGCCGTCCAGCTCGTCCACACTGTCCACCTCGTCATTGGAGAAATCGCCCGACGAGCCATACTCGTCCTCGCTCAGCTCAGAGCTGTCAGACATCTGTCCGCGGAAACCAACGTCATGGATGGAACCGTGTCAAAGACGGAACGGGCGTCAAGCACGGGCCACGGGAACCGGTGTCACAGTCAGAGCGGGCATCACAAAAGAGACAAGCATCACTGATGGAGATGGGCAACGGGAATCGCGAATGGGAACAGGCATCACAGACGGGTATGGGTGTCACACACACACTTAACCAACATCGAAGGTGGTACAGAGAAACCAAACAAAAACAGTCACAATCAGGAATTAGCATTAGACAGAACTGGTGTCTCAGATAGAATCTGCATCACAGACTGGGATCAGCATCATGGATGGGGACCTATGTCACAGACAGAAATCACTCATCAGTATCACAGCTGGAACTGGCATAATGGATGAAACCCAATGTTAGAACTAGCAAGAGCACTATCTTGTTGCTATTTTTATGAGCAGGCTACCAGCTCACTTCCTTACTTCTCAATGGTTAAAGGAAATAGTTCACTTTTAACATGGGGTTTTGAGCTGGAATAGCAGTTTCGTAGCTTGAGCTGAGACTAGCACAAATCAGGAGCTTTTACGGCTCAACGATCACCCTAGACGAAGAAATTCCATTTCTCGTTCCGAAAAGAGTGCCTTGTAGAGGAATGCGTGCCTTGCACAGGAATGCAGCCACGTCATCGTCAGCCAATCAGCGTGCTGCTTACAGCCAATGCAGTATTCGTAGGTTTGAGCTACGCAATATGATTGGTCAATGCGTAATAAGCTTCCGCGTCAAACATTATTTTACATAGAATATAGTTCGCCCTATATTAAAATAAAGAAAATAATTGTTTTTACAAAAAGGTTTTATTTTATTTCATGATTATTTTGAGCATAAAAAATCATAAATCAATAGCAAAATACTGATTTCAGGAAAGTGGACTGTTTCCTTTAAGTTCACAAGTGAGAGACCCAGAAACACCACCAATGATCTTCCATTTACAAGAATACCGGTGGCATGCTGATAAAAACCGACAGCACCCTTTCCCACATGTGCAGCCTGACTGGTTGCAACCAGTCCAGCAGGGCCAGCAGCATATGTATACACCTGTCTGCAAAAAATGATCTGATATGCAAAAATCACAAAAAGGTACCTACCAAGGCACCTAGGCAGCTAGGCTAGGTACCTATGTAAATGTATCATTCCTGAAAAGTGACATAGGTTAATTAAAAGCCCATGATTGAAAAGGTGTTATTTACAAAAATAAGCATAGCTTGCTACTTTGAATTTGAAATACAATTAAAATATAAGTTAGAACTTAGAATAGATAGTTCTATATAACCTCAGGTAGGTAGGTATGGTCAGATTTTTGGCATAAGTAGAGCAGACATCACACAAAGGTTTTCCAGCCAAGGAGAGGCACTGAAGGTTTGTAGGTTGTAGTGTGGTTCTTGTAAGAAAGAAGCACCCCCAGGAATAGCGCCTCTCCTCAGTTGGAAAACCTTCATGTGATGACCGCTTCACAAATACCAGATTTTTTTAGCCTGTCGGTCGTCGGATAACTTTAAGTGCACAAATATCGCACGAGACAAGGATTATGAATAGAGTCAAGTTGGTAAATCAAGTGTAAGATGATATTTTCAGCTGGGTATTGATAAAGATATTGCAGCTTCATGTGCGCTTTTCATTAGACCGCTTAAAGCGATTACAGGCTTACAAAAATGGCCTTTACCTACATAGGTATTCACAATTGAAAACCAGAAAAGAAAAGAAATGCATACAAAACAGGACTTACCTTCTCTAAAGAGGAAGACGGTCGACACATAAGAACAAGTCTGACCTCATAAAAAATAATTCGCTGTACTTGCAAACAAGTTACAAACGGGATAACAAGAAATATTATCCAAGATATTATCCAACATAACCGATCGGTTGTGTCGATTCGTCACTTCATCGGCTTCTGTTCTTTAGCAGTATACTGACATATTTTCCCTTACATGGAAGAAACTTCCTTGCGTTTCCCAGCCTCTCATTGGTGAATTAACTGCCCTGGGGGAATTCCACCAATAGGAAGGCCAGGAGACTCGAAACATGACAGCTACGTCGAACAGCATCGAGGCATGTTGGAGTCATATTTTGAAACAAGTGCGCCGTTCATGTCTAAAATCACTATCCTTTTGGACCTTGGGGCAATGCAATCCAAGGCAAGGCCCCAAGGGCCCGCTTGCCTAAGGGCAATCCTTGGGGCAGACTCGGGACAGCCCAATGCAAATTTCGTGAACTTTTTTCATCGATTGTGGCTATGCCAGTTTTCCGGATGAATCTTTGAATGGACCGAGTGGACAACATTCCTCAAAACAGAGCGATTTGAACATGTCTTGCCTCGTGATGCAATCGCAAATTTAGAATGAAAATCAAAGTGAATCATCCTGTTGACTCCTATTGTCCAGTAGTGATAGCACCTTGCAAATTGATGTACAATTTTGTCTTTTTCACACTAAAGCCTATTTGTTAACAGGTCAAGATGAGCATATATTTATTAGCCGCCATTGCTAACTTCATCACATATGGGCCTGCAAGTGGGTCTGATATCGAGTGGCTAACTAAACAGGTAATATGGAGCTATTGTGGTCAGAAATCACCACATATTCCTTTCTGCATATGCTACTGGTAACAATTTTGTCTGCATGTTGTAATTATCAATATTGATGCCTGTATGTGCCAGTACCCAGTAAACATGCCGACGTCGGCCCGACGTCGGGCCGAGGCTCGGCCCGACGTCGGCCCAACGCCGGATCAACCTCGGCCCGACATCGGCTGGACGTCGGATATGCCCGCATGTTCCGACGTCCAGCCGAAGTCCAGCCGACGTCGAGCCGACGTCGGGCCGAGGTCGTTTGCCGAGGTTGACGAGATCGTTTGTCGTTGGACCGACGGGGCCGACGTCGGCATGTTTATTGGGACAACGCGCCAAAAATATCAACCGGCGGCGGGATTCGAGCCCCCCAGTCGCCGACGTCGGCATGTTTACTGGGACCAGGGGCGGATCCAAGGGGGGGCCAACGGGGCCATGGCCCCCCCCAAGACGGTCAAAGGGGGGGCCATACTATCTTTTGGCCCCCCCCAAGACATAAGTCAAGAAAACTAAAAAATAAACATTCTAAAAGTTCCTATGCTGAAAAACTGAAATATAGCTTTGATGATTGAGTGACCTTGGGGCAAACGTGACAAACTCTGCCAACCAGAGTCAAAATGGCCTGTGCCGGCGAGGGTGAACATGTAGGAGAAATAGACATGATATCACATTGTTATTCGCATTCATAGGCACGTATTCTGTATTGTGTACTGGTTGGTTTTAATTGCAAATTTGTTGGAAAATAAGATTGTCATTGGGCACTTTTTTAAAGAAAAAGGTATTTTTAACGTTTACCATGGCCAAATGTGTGGCTCTTGTCAGAAAACTGAGGAATGATCATAACAACACTGAGTATAATCAACTTAAGCTTGAGAAATTTCAGAAGCTTTTTAATGGCTGAAGCTTCTTCATAGTTCATTAACACTTTTGACCAGTAGCTTTCTTGTCTCATACCTGAAGGTATATGGATTTAAACCTCTCCCGTATTGGCGTTTTGTCAGCCGCGAACGTATGGGGGGGGGGGGGTCCGTTGCCCCCATTGCCGTTTGGCCGCTGATCGAGCTAGAGCTTCGCGAAAAAAAACGAGCGTGCTGCCTGTGACGAGAGGAAGACGATGATACCCAATTTAAGGTCCTAGGTCATTGGTTCATGGTTGACCTTCCAGGTCAGGTCAATGACCCAAAAGTCGGGAAAATTGGGACCTGTTAGAGCGTCGTAAGTGTGGCTGAGCTTTTTCGGGGTGCTGATCACCAATATCGTGTTAGTGTTGATCCTAGAAGATGTCTTCATGCATTTAGGCAGGTCGGGTCAGGTCAACCAGTAGTGGTCCTGCCGGGCATTCGTAGTACGTGTCACTGTCAACCGCCTCTGACAGCTTCGTAACATGTTACGAAGGCACCAAAACTACTTCGTAAATGCTCAAATGGTTGCTAAACTCGAATTCAGCTCCAAAAACTAGCCTAGAAACATGTAAAACTCGAAAAAGTGAACTGAGGTCATCAAAGGTCAATGACCTGACCTGACCTTCAGGTGTCCTTCACACCCATCCAAATGCATGGGACCAACATGTTTGACCAACATGGGATCACATGTTTGAACGCTTGAAACCACGAGAAAAGACTGCAAACGCGCGGCTAATGCGAGCCAACATACGCCGAATCGCGATCCCGGCCAAGCATGGTCTCGAGAAATAGGTCACAGGTCAAAGGTCACTTGGGTCAGGGTAATTAAAGTTTTAGGGTAGATGCCAAATTGATTAAATCGAGGGTACTGAAAGTTTCGTCGCGATTAGCCGTTTTTACGCGAGTTATTCGCGAAAAACCGGGGGGGTGGGGTCTGTTCGACCCCTCCCCCTATACGGGCGAGGGTTAACAGAGGAAGACACAATTTCCCCTTACCTGTCCCAGTAAACATGACGACGTCGGCCCGACGTCGGGCCGAGGCTCGGCCCGACGTCGGCCCAACGTCGGTTCAACCTCGGCCCGACATCGGCTGCACGTCGGATATGCCCGCATGTTCCGACGTCCAGCCGAAGTTCAGCCGACTTCGAGCCGACGTCGGGCCGAGATCGTTTGCCGAGGTTGACGAGATCGTTTGTCGTTGGACCGACGGGGCCGACGTCGGCATGTTTATTGGGACAACGCGCCAAAAATATCAGCCGGCGGCGGGATTCGAGCCCCCCAGTCGCCGACGTCGGCATGTTTACTGGGACAACACGCCAAAAGCATCAGCCGGCGATGGGATTCGAACCCAGTGTCATTCGAACGCGAGGTTAGTGCGCTAACCACTACACCACGCAGCCAGCTAACGGATTTGGTTTTGTTTTGTTCGGTTATGCCCTTTCGGTCTGACAAGACCATTTCAGAGCCGGAAGTTTCATAGGATGGAGACATTGGTCTTCTTGGCGAGCACCCTGGGTCCAGTTCATATAGAGTCCCTGGTCCCATTGCTGTTACGTGACACTTATTGGAAAGGGCGACCCCACAATGGATTCATATAGCCACTCTTACACACCTGCACCAACGTTTCCCAAAGTGTCCCTTTGATAAGTGGCACTTTGGCAAAGTGACACTTGCCGACTGGCCTTTCTATATGAACTGGGCCCGGCCCTGGTGAGTTGCCGGGGCTGAGCCTGACCAAAGGATAGGCCGAGCAGCCCCCAAGCACTCACCGCACCCGGCTACGGGCGAGCTCGGCTTACGGGCAATCCCAAATGGGATAAAATTTCCCGTCCAGTCCGGATCAGGGGGTTGCGGCGTGGAGGAAGATTTGAGTTTCCTGAGGATATTTTGAATACAGAAGCTCTTTATGAAACATGAAACATGTATTTTATATTATTTTAACGGTCAAAACAGCGGCCGATGTCGGTCCGACGTCGCCCCGACGTCGGCTGGACCTCAGCAATTGATCTCGGTCCGACGTCGGCCCGACGTCGGCTGGACCTCGGCTGGACGTCGGAACATGCGGGCATATCCGACATCCAGCCGACGTCGTGCCGAGGTTGGACCGACGTCGGGCCGACGTCGGCATGCCGATGCCGAGTTGCCGACGTCACCCCGACGTCGGCCGACGTCGGGCCGACGTCGGCATGTTTACTGGGGTACTTACTTGTTTTTGAAGTGTTTCAAGCGTCATTTTGAGAAGGTGCTTTATTCAGTTAGGGGGTGCATGTGCACCCCTAAAACCCCTAATGCTCCACCATATGTCACTAACTAAACCCACTATTTGAAGTTATACTTAATGACACATGGGTAGTTTTCACTTGGTTTTCACTCAACATAGTAGGATAATTAAGCATTAAATGCAAAATTAGAGCTTGAGATTGTCCGGAATTTAGCCCAACAGGATACCTCTTCAATCGTCCTAGCTGAATCCAGCATAAGCTCAGCTTGTCTGAACTCGGACACACCATCAACATTGCCGAGTCTGAATTTGAGCTCGACGCCGGGCCATGGGCCTGAACTTTGTGGTCATGGGAGCGGGAGCTGGGGGTCAGTGAGGGCAGCCTGCCCCCACAACTCTGGGGCCGTGGGGGCGCTGCCCCACAACTTTTCATAGGGTTAGGAACCGCCGGGGCAGCTTGCCCTCCCTGAATTAGCGGTTGTGGGTCACAAAGGAAAACTAAAGGGAAGAAAACATTTAAGAAAAAAATCCCCCTCTTTACCTGGCTTGACAGCTCATGTGGAAGATTTAAGCTTTTATTCTACGTTACCAAAAAGGTAGTTCCTTGACTCAGCTGAGACAAAATATCTCACTTTTTGCAAATGTTTTCGTTTCGTTTTTTTTTTTCGATGAAAAGGCGAAGGGTGAAAAATAAGTGGCCTAAAACCGGTGAGAAAACTAGATTTGGGGGTACCCTAGGTTTGGCTAGTCCCAACAGGTTGGCCCCCCCCAAGACGGCCGGCTGGATCCGCCCTTGACTGGGACAACACGCCAAAAGCATCATCCGGCGATGGGATTCGAACCCCGTGTCATTTGAACGCGAGGTTAGTGCGCTAACCACTACACCACGCATCCAAATAGCTAATTCAGTTTGTTTTGTTGGCTTATGCCCTTTCGGTCTGACAAGACCATTTCAGAGCCGGAAGGATGATAGGATGGAGAGAAGACATTGGTCTTCTTGGCGAGCACGCTGGGTCCAGTTCATATAGAGTCCCTGGTCCCATTGCTGTTACGTGCAGTGTCCCAGAATTATATTTTGTTTTGGGTGTCAGAGGGGTAAATTTATTCAGTTACCAGGGAGATGAGAGTGGAAAATTGCCTGTCAGGTAAAGCTAAAAACAGGAGGGAGTGGTAAGAATGAAGGGAAAGCGGATTGATAGCATTCATCACCACACACATGTGGTAGAATGTAGCTTGTATTACATGTATCAATATGATGTTTACGAGCATGCACGCAGATACTCCTTGTTTTTTTGAGGTTGGGAGTGGAAAATCGCTCTCGAATATTTGAAATGAGAGTGGAAAATTGTCATAATTTGGATGTTGTTTCCCACCCAAATCGACAAATTTTAGGACGCTGGTTACGTGACACTTATTGGAAAGGGCGACCCCACAATCAGATTCATATAGCCACTCTTACACACCTGCACCAACGTTTCCCAAAGTGTCCCTTTGATAAGTGGCACTTTGGCAAAGTGACACTTGCCGACTGGCCTTTCTATATGAACTGGGCCCGGCCCTGGTGAGTTGCCGGGGCTGAGCCTGACCAAAGGATAGGCCGAGCAGCCCCCAAGCACTCACCGCACCCGGCTACGGGCGAGCTCGGCTTACGGGCAATCCCAAATGGGATAAAGTTTCCCGTCCAGTCCGGATCAGGGGGTTGCGGCGTGGAGGAAGATTTGAGTTTCCTGAGGATATTTTGAATACAGAAGCTCTTTATGAAACATGAATCATGTATTTTATATTATTTTAACGGTCAAAACAGCGGCCGATGTCGGTCCGGCGTCGGCCCGACGTCGGCTGGACCTCAGCAATTGATCTCGGTCCGACGTCGGCCCGACGTCGGCTGGACCTCGGCTGGACATCGGTACATGCGGGCATATCCGACATCCAGCCGACGTCGTGCCGAGGTTGGACCGACGTCGGGCCGACGTCGGCATGCCGATGCCGAGTTGCCGACGTCACCCCGACGTCGGCCGACGTCGGGCCGACGTCGGCATGTTTACTGGGTATGAATCAATATGAATAATGTAATTATCAATACTTACCAAATACTAAATAGTATGCATACCACTGTTTGTGCTACTCAAGGTGCTGGTTGCTACTGTAGCTCAAGCTTTTCACCTTTTTCTCACAGAGGAGTCATGTGCCTGTTTCACTGGGTGACCGCTTGGAGGAGCTGGCACTGCTGGATCATCAGATGGACCCAGATGGGGCATCATTTAACAGCCTCCTGGCACCAATGCTCAGGCCACGCTATGTGACTTCAGCAGCCCACACAGAAGTTAGACAGGTAAGAACACCTCTACTTTAAAAAGCTGGTATTAAACTAACAGGGAATTCAAACGAAATGGCTTATTAGGTACCTATCCTAAGTCAGTTAGGTGATACATATCTATAGGAGTCGAGGTGATCTGAAAGCCTCTTTTACCTCTTACAATGCACTAATGTGATGATCAAGCTGCAATAAATTGCATGCATTATTAGGCAAAATAACTTCAGTTAGTTTCCAACCCCCAGGTTTCATATATTGAATATTCCCAGAACTACCATCCTCTTGGTACACCCACAGCACATAGTGAGCACACTGGAGTCCCTGGGCTGGGCCGTGGACGGGAACCGCACGTTCGAGATGCGGACGCCACGCGGTCCGATGGACTTCACCAACGTAATAGCCACGCACGACCCGGCGGCGCCGCGCCGGCTGGTGCTGGCCTGTCACTACGACTCCATCTTCGGACGGGACACGTTCATCGGTCAGTCGGCCGGGGGGGGGGGGGGGGGGGATCGGGTCCGCTGAGTCCGCTGGGGGGGGGGGGGACGGTGTCCGTCCTCCGGCGGTGTCAAGTATCTGGCGAATGACGACCGGGCGCCGGTGCCGCGCTGTGTAATGAGTGCTACGGATATAGATAGTGCGTTTGTATGCATGTGTTTATATGTAGGAGTCAGGAGAGGTGGTGTATTTTCTTCGGGCTGGCTATTTTGACGCGGATAGGTTGTATGCAAGACGGCTAATTTTGTTGCGTACTCAAAGCTCCTAAAAACATTGTTAATCTGGCTGTGGAATGACGAAGCATTACTGTTCTGTCCCGCAGGTGCCACTGATTCGGCCGTGCCCTGTGCCATGATGCTCCATCTGGCTACTTTGATGACCAAGCGGTATCTGGACCCAATCAAGGTCGGTATAACTAAACCCGCTGGGCTTTTCGGATTCCCACAGTAGTCGTTTTTTTTTTGTAAATGTGATGCTAGTGTGTAATGTGTACCTATTGTGCTTGAGCTGCACTGCACATTGCACATCCATGCGTCCATTCGGTTCGTTCCCGAATTCGCGTGTCTCCACGGCCATTCTGAGCTAACACTGACTGAGTGTCTACTGTCTATGCCTGTATCTCTGTCCAGGGCCGGTCGGAACTGACGCTTCAGCTGCTGTGCCAGTGCGGTAGCGGTACTGAGTACTGACACTATCTGTTTGCGTCTCTCCGCTCAGGGCCGCTCGGAGCTGACGCTGCAGCTGCTGTTCCTGGACGGTGAGGAGGCCATTGTCCACTGGACCGACACCGACTCGATATACGGCGCGCGTCACCTGGCCTCTGAGCTGGAGCGAACCGTCTACCAGCGGGCCGGGGACACCGTCATCACTGAACTGCAGCGCATGGTGAGAAGAACGCTAATAAGCCGGCCAGGTTAGGTCGGGGGATCGTGATTCAGGGACTGGAGGTAGTTTGGTTTCCGCCACAAGTTCACTCGTTCAGCGCTAAAATCACTGCAGGTCGTATTCGCTCGCGTTTAACCAGATGCCGCTCTCCCGCCCAGGACCTGTTCGTCCTGCTCGATCTCTTGGGCACCCAGAGTCCCACCATCTACAACTACCCGTACTGTGCGGACGCCGAGTTCAGGCAGCTGGCAGCGGTCGAGAGGCGGCTGAAGAAACTGCGCCTCTTGGACGGCGCGCCGCGGATGTTCAAAGTGAGGAAGTCGTGGAGCTCACCAGTCGGTATAGAAGACGATCATCTGCCGTTTATGCATAGAGGTGAGAAGAGAACTGCAATTAGTCGATAAAACTTTTTTTTCGCTAAAAAAAAAAATGTCGCACTTGTTCATTCAACGACTGCGCATTTTCGACCAGTAAATGCTATTTACTGCTCAAACAATGTCGCCCTCCTTGCGAAAAGCACGAAAAGCTACATATCTCTTTGCTTGCTATCCATCATGGCAAGAAAACATATAGCAGCTGCCCTTGCATATGTTCCAATGTTTTTTTAAACGGGCTTTTGGCTATTCGCTTTCCCGCAACATACCTCGACCCTTCGTCTCCACCGTTCGCTGACCTCTCTCCCCGCCCGTTCGCCCGCCGACCGTCAGGAGTGAAGATCCTGCACGTGATCCCGGTGCCGTTCCCGGCCGTGTGGCACGAGGACTCGGATGACGCGTCCGTCATCCACCGGCCGAGCGTCACCAGCCTGGGCCGCTCCCTGCGCGTCTGGGTGGCCGAGTATCTGCAGCTGGCAGCGCTGCTCGACGTGAGTCAGACTTCCCTCACATTCACGAATGTAATGTAGGGTGGTACGGCTCTCGCGAGATTAAGCGGTAGGTTTTGCACTTTTACATTTCCGGTTATATCTCAGAAGCCAATCGATGTACGATGAAGCCATTTTACACGATCATGGCCGGCTTGTGAACCAACAACTCGATCGATCTTCAACACTTTAAAGCTTAAGACGACGAATAGGGTGAAGTCGTATAAGAGTACGCACTTAGTGGATTTCTTGCTCTCATTTGTTTAATATTTGAAAGAAAGAAATCGCAAATAGGGAATATTAAAGGTCATTGAATTAGCCATCAACCCATGGGGCAACGATCCTTCAGCGTAAATGGAAGTGATCTAAAACTGACATTTTCTGAACCGCTGCAGTTGCGTACTCTTACCATATGGGGTGTGTAAGAGTACGCACGCCAGGCGGGTGGAGTACGCAAGCATATGAACACACACCTATGCAGCTTGTACTGTCCAAATGCTTAACTTCAAACTCAGAAGGCATTTAAGTTAATTTTAGTATCCAAAAAGGAAAACATAAAATAAATCTTTCAAGTCTATAAATCAGGAAATAATCATGTCGTGTGTATCTTAAAAAAATTCACAATCAAAAGGGAGAATAACTCGTATTTGGAAGAATTTCGGGTACGTATCTGCATCACAGAGCTCCATTGATGATATACCTACAAAACAAACGTCATTGAGCGATAGATTAATAATTTTATATTTCTGTATATTCGATTTAATGTATAATTCTGCGTACTCTTACCCTCCTGAACAGTGCGTCCTCTTACCGTACATGCAATTCGCGCACAAAACAACCCCGAAACGTTGTGCAAAACTTCGCAAACAGAATATTGCTTTGCACAGTATTTCCCCAGAAAACCTCACAAGTTTCCCACAACAATCACGGAAATGTACCTTATCTCAACTGCCAAGTATCAAAATTATTGTACCATACCATAATAATATCACAACGCTCGAAAATAATATTCATCGCCTTAAACTCAACAGCGTCGCCGCTCAACGCCCACGTTTTGTTGGTGACAAGCACGCACTGGCGGCTTCATGTCACTTCATGAACTCGACAAACCCGCGTTGCTAAGCAACCGGAACAGCTGATGCGTACTCTTATCGCCCGCGTACTCTTACCCGCCCTTACCCTATATAGCCTGAAGTACACTAAATTTTCTAGGTGCAAAACCTACCGCTAAAACCCGCGAGACCTGTACTTGGTAGGATAGGATAGCTGATGGATTAACTGCGAGTTTCACGCCCACGAATCCGAAGTGATGCAGGGGCAGGATGGTTCAGGGGATCCCGAATCACTGATGCTGCAGATGATATTTCGGTTTTGGGGTACTCAGTCTGCTTTTTTTCGGCGCTCGTCCATATAGTCTAACTCTTCTCGATGTTCTCGTTGCACGTTGCTCGTGTAGTCTGCAAGTCTCTGAATCTCCTGTTTCCTCCCACCCACGCGCTGAAAGCAAGCTGATCGGCTGATTGGGGATGTTTATAGATGATTTGGAAGCCCTGTGTAATTGCCCAATGTCCGGACATATGCGAGGTTTGCGTAAAGGCCGCCCCACACTGGACCTCGCATGCGGGTTGCGTGTTTGCGGGTTTTGAGTTTGCGGACACAATACTAATTCATAGAGTGATAAGACCGTTCCCATATGGTAACTTCATGAATGCAGTGAAGCCGGTACACCTTCAGAAAATTATATATAGTCGCAATACCAGTGCAACGAACCAAAATTCGACTCCAACGAAAAACCCGCAAACCTCGCAGCGAGGAAAATCGAAAGTTGACTCAAAATCAACTTTTGGAATGCGATGCAAGGTGGCTCACAACCTAAAAACATGCAGGCTCGCTTGTTAGATGGTATTGTGGGTCACTCAGCTTAGATTGTATTATTTGATTTTGAAGAAACCCGAAAACCAAAAAACTCGCAACCCGCATGCGAGGTCCAGTGTGGGGCAGCCTTAAGAGTGACTCACATATCGGTTCTATTTGCAGGAGGATACCGCCAAGGACGCTGTCCGCGAAGAGCTGTGATAAACGCTTTCCAACTGAAACTCCATGCTGAGTTACATCATGGGAGACCGTGCGTCAAATATCGCTGATAAGTCGGTATGCTGTTTTGCACGGACTGGGTTGGTGGGGTGTGTATTTTTGTGATTTTTGTGGTAACGACTAACGGGTGACCTCTTTGGGGAGCACTTTTGAAGTGTTGGTGATACAGAACTGCGTTTCCAGTATGTCGCCATTCTGTCTTTTGTCGTTGATATGGCTAGATGGTTATGGTGGAAATAATGAAGGCAAACCGTTGATATTGCAGTTTGTCTGTAATTTATTGTTGTCCGTTGCTGTCGTTTTTGGGGAGGGGATGGGGTTTGGTGCGGGCCCGTATCCACGTTTTTTTCGCACTCCTTCGAATTTTTCCATGTTTGTCAGACTCAATTGTCTAGAGTGAGATCATTGATCTTCTTTTTACGGTATGCTACTGCAGCGATACTGCACTGCCTTATGTTTGCTGGTGTCCGTGTTCTCCTTCGGGTGATATGGTATTTATTTAATGCAAGGATCTACTTAACAGATATGGCATGTGAGAAGGCATGTCTTGGGGATGGGAAGTTGTCTGTGGTCCGTAAAAGATTCCTGTCATGCCCCACCGACAGTAACCAGCGTTCAGCATGGGCATTGGTGATGCATCTCGCTATTACTGTTTTTGAACTGCTGTGGTGCCTTTACGTCTGTGATATTCGCAGAATTATGGGACTGAAATTATTAGTGTTATTCCTGGCACATTACTAAGACACGCAGGTATTGTTGGATTTATAAAGAAAGTACCACTATTTAAGTGGATGGTAATCTCGGTTTTGGTATCACTATCAATGTTTTGCTCCACTTATAACTGCCTCGTAACCAGTCCGGCAGCTGGGTGTGTCACTGTGCCAGTATCACTCGCCGCTGCGACACGTGAGTTCGGCCGCTGCCAGCCCGGCCCCCTGGCCGGCTGCCCAGGTACCTCCGTCCAGGGCGGCCGGTTGACGCACGCGTCACCGCGACCGACGCGACCGTGGCACCACGCTGCCAACAGCGCAATCTGGACAAGGAATCGTTACGTTTACAATAAATATTTGGCATATTGGCGTGTTTTCTGGTATATTCGCCGGAGCAGAGTAATTTTAGGGACGTAGTGCTCGCTCCTCACATACACATGTATTCACCACTGCAGTCCTTTAGCGTCGAGACGACACCGCCCGAGGGGCTACCTGTCCAACACGGCGTCTAAGTACACCATCCTCCGAGGCAGCCGGGTGGCCGCTCGGTCACTCAGCGGCAGCCCAGCCGGCCGGGCGGGCACCGCCTCCAGTCACGCGCCGCTCCCTCCCACCATTCGCCTTGCAGCTCGCACTCACAGGCACTCAGTCAGCCGCTACCGCCGGCAGCGCCAGCACCTACTGCGCCAGCACCTGGTCCCAGTCAGACCAGAACTTGGACTTCATACGGTCAAAGTACTGGCAGAGGTTGTCGTGCTTCTGGCGCACCTGCACCTCGACCTCGGGCGCGGTGGCGCACAGCGCCTGCGCCAGCAGCGAGAACGCCGCCGCGTCGTAGGTGGTGGGCTCGTTACCCAGCAGGTAGGGCTGCTTGCCGAGGGTGTCGGCCAGCGCCTGCAGGTCACGGTACAGGAAGAACAGCACTTCGGGCTCGGTGAACCGGCCCACGCCCTTCAGCCACATCCGCTTCTTGATGACGCCCGAGAAGAAGAGCTTGTAGATGATGACCATCTTCTTCATCTGCGCCGGCAGGATGGTGCCCACGTACTCCATATTGTCGATGACGTAGCGTTTCATGGCCAGCAGGCCCATGGTGTGCTCGTCCAGCATCACCTGCGTGATGCGGCCGACGGCGCGCTGGGCGGGCGTCAGCTTCTCCGTCGCCGCCACGGGCTTGTTGAAGTGCTTCTCGAGGTAGTCGAGGATCAGCTCGGAGTCGTTGATCTCCTCGCCGTTGATGGTGATCCAGGGACTCATCAGCTTGCCGCCCATGGGCTCCTCCGTGTCGATGACGTAAGCGATGCCGGCCATGCGGCAGTAGGTCTCGATCTTGAGCGCGAACGGCGACATGTTGGGCACGGTGGTGCAGCGCGGGTAGGTGTGCAGCACCACCACGTCCTTGCCCTGCTGCGCCCATCGCGCGCGCCGCTGACGGCGCCGGTACTGGGTGTACAGCTTGACGCCGATGCCGACGGCGGCCGCTCCCAGCGCGAGCTGCAGCAGACGGCGGCACGCCGGACTGTCGGCCACCTCTCTGCAGGCGCTGCGCAGACCTCCGCTGCCGAACCGCGGCCCGCCGCCGCCGCCACCGCCACCGAACATACCCCCGACGGTGGGCGGCGGCCCGCTGTAGCCGCCTCCGCCGCCGCTATACGCCGGGCCCGGTCCTCCGTGCATTCTGGCCGACCACGTGGACACGCGTCGAGCTTCTACACGCACTTTACGCAGACGCCGCCCGATCTGCCGTGGACCACACCCGTCACCGGTCGCCGCCGACTGGCTCCGGCTGCCTGCGCACCGCCGCCGCCGCGGTCGATCGTTCCGTGACCTTGAGAGCGCCAGCTGGCTGTCAGGGGCGTATCCAGGGCATCAGTCACGGCGGCCACAGCTGACGACACCGACGGGAGACCATTCACATCGGGCTTCCCTTGACCGAGGGAGGGGTTAGTCACTCCGGGCAGAAGGGCACTTTGTCGGCCTGAGATAGCACACCGCGCTGTCCGGAACATCCGAAAGTGCGTCGGTACCTGCCTGGGAAGGGTGACAATATGCAAGTCATGCTTGCTGGCACATATACACGCGCCTGCCGTGGTGAGCTCACTGAACTCATTGTATCGCCTGCGGCGGTGCGGGAGCGACTTAATTTCAGTTCTCAGTGACGTGAAGCGTTCAATGCACCTGTCTGCGGTCTGCGGGGTCGGGGAGTGGTTGGGAAAGACTGAGCTCACGGCTGTACCGGGTGCGGAACGAGTAGGTCACGCTGCATTGGTGCCGGGTCTGAGAACGTGAGGGCGAGCTGGAAGTGAAGCAGGCAGGTCCGGCTGGGATTGGGGAGGAGGTGGGGCTGAGGGTGGAGACGGTCAGAAGGTGCAGAGAGTGGGTAGATTGTGAGGGGGACAGGCGAAAGCCTGAGATTGTGGGCTAAGCTGAATACGCTCGAAAGACAACAGCCGTGGCTGGTGGCTCCCTTGAATGAATCATTGAATCGACAGACGAGATCTGGACCGGTTGGATTTATCTGAAGGTGCGACGGAAGTCGTTATCTCATCCGCCTACGCGCTCGAGACACGTTTATCGTCATCTCCACTTTTTGGATGTAGTTGATAACGCTATACGATCATAACCAGTTTGAAACGGAAGATATGAAAACGTTGACCTCCTAGTTCGCGTTCCTCTCCCAAGATTGTATTGTTTTGTACAGTCTGTCTTAAAAGTACCGCGCAAAGTAACGGTGGATCCATCAAGTCTGACCGAGAAAGTTAATACCGCAATCATATAATCGTGTTCCAGTGGCCAAATGCGCGTGTCAACGAAATCTCGACGTAGATTCTTGTCTTATACAATGATCATAAATAGAGAACTCAACTCGGTTATCTAGTATTTGATGATGAAATGTTCAGTATGATGATGACAGTAGCTGAATATAGAAGACAGGAAAGCTGCAACTTTCGGTGGCTTATATTGGCTTACGAACAGACAGGTAACATAGTGATGAAGTGCGGGGCCGTAGATAAACATAAAAAGTAGAAACAGGCTGCAAGAAACAACTTAATGGAGAGCTAAATCATAAATAATTTATTGCTACATATTACACTGACAAAAATATGAAATATTTGACACATACTATAGCATTTCTGATTTCACGAACGATAAACGATAATTGATAGGATACACAGCTCCAAGTAGCTCAGACCAAGTAGCTCCAAGACACCTTACCATTAATCACGACTAGAGTACATCAGTGAATTGGGGAGCTGGGGATCCCTGAACATTTGACAGATAACACATCCATAGGTGCACGGTCTCAATTTATCGACAGCGCTCTGTGAACACACCCAACATTCGATGGACCGCCTGAGACATCAGACAAAACTTGGACTTATATACCACATACGACTGTGAAACATACCATCACACACGGTATGACAACACATCACTGGGCATCACATTTATGATAGCTGATTGACATTGAGAGTGGAACCCCTATCAGTGGGCACTGGGCAGTGCAGCAGATAGGCGTTGCCTGATAGTCATGTTGACTGACCTGACGGTTGACCCTGCAACAGGTCACCGGAGGCAGCATCCGTTGACCTCTCCCGTTTACCTGGCCCGAGCAGCACGACCCACCGAGCTAGGGAGTCCAGGCTCCACGCATGTAAGGTCAGACGGAGACCCTTCGGGGACAGCCGACTTCAGCGCCCCTGGCGGCCGGGTCCTCCGTTACTGGGGCGCCCCCATGACGGGCGGGCTGAGCGCCGACACCAGCGCCACGCCGCGGTGGATGGCCGAACTGAGCAGCGCCGGGCAGCGCGGGCTGGCCGCCTGCCGCTCCAGTGCCACGCGCAGCTCGGCGAAGATGGTGCGCGAGTAGGGGTTGCGGCGCGAGGCGTACCGCAGCGACAGGAACCGGTAGTAGATGAACGGCACCAGCAGACTGCCGCGGCCGCTGGCGAACAGAGACACACCGGAGTCAGGTGGTGGGTTCATCCGTTGTAAATTCCAGGTGTGGGCCTCATGGATGTCGGTCAGAACTCAGAATTTAGATTTCTAGTTGCGTTCCGAATCAACGAGAGAAAATTTGAAACACATCAACAGAAAGCAGTGATTGACACCCAAGTTCAGTTAAAGAATTCAGAAACATTTCAGCAAAAGCATTTCAGAAACCAATACAAAGCAGCGAGTGCGCCATCTAAAATCTTTCGCAAAATCTTTCTAAAAGTTTCGCAGCCTGTGCGATGAAAAGCTGCTATGAATATGCCTAAAATATGCAATAATAGTACTGAGAGTCTCACATTTATCAGCTATCATATGCAGTAGCCATTACGCCAAAGATATGGTTTTGTGGTTGGCTATTCTAAAAGCTTGCCGGTTCTCCAGACAGATTTTATCATCCGAGACGATCGAAAACGACAATTCCAACACTGCCCGTGCGTTTATGGCCGCATACGTACACGAGCAGCATGGCGACTGTGTAGGGCATCAGGACGATCTCGGCGATGGCGATGGCCCTCAGCATCGCCTGCGACTTCAGTTCGACCAGGGAGATGAGGTAGCGCAGCGGCGCTGCCGAGCTCGGTCCCAGCAGCTGTGGCAGATGGCGCCGTCACGCACAGATAACACCGGGCGGTCGTCAACACGACACGACCGGCGGATACCACAGATGGAGCGGCGCCTGTCGGCTGGGTGTAATCCACCCTGTCTAAGCGCTTCATTAGCGAGACGGCACCTGTGGTCCCACAGACATACACGCATACGTACACACTAACGGTATCTGTTCACTTACATTCCCAAATAACCTCTCCCCCTCCACAGTCACACATATGAACACAGTCTTCGTCGACCTTCATATAATCATCACCTGGAGTCCCCCTTCAAACAGTGCAACGGCCCACTCAAACCCATCCAACTATACAAACAACACACACAATGTTCTTACCTTCACATCGAGTAACGGCAACCCCCTTGCCCACCAAAAACACTTCCAACACACAATACCAGCACAGACGGCCTCCATCGACTCACATCGAGCAGCTGCAGTGTGTAGCTGGAGCTGTGCAGCACGGCGAACAGCGTGACTGGCAGCAGCACCAGCGTCAGGGGCGGCGGCACCACGAACACCAGCGCGTACATGACGTAGTGCGAGGCGTCCTCGAGCACCAGCCGGGCGCCCCACTCGCGAGTCAGCTGCGGTGGAGGCAGACGCTGGCGCAGTCGTAGTATAGAGGTGAGCAGAGCTGCTAGGAGAGCGGACACGTACGCCATGCGCGCCGGGCTGTAGGCACAAGAGAGGGGGAAAGTCATCAGATAGGTTCAATGCTAGACCGGAATGTGGGTGCAGGGAATGTTGATCGTTATCATTGGTACACAGACGGCAGGGGAAGTGGGTTTTCACCCAGATTGGCATGTCAGACCGGGGTGTGGGAGAGGTGATGACAATAAAAGTCACTATCAGTCTACTGCGTGGCTTTTGGATGGCAGTGGCAGGACAGCGAGATGAATGAAATACGGCCCGACGTAGAACAACTAACAGTGATTATGTCAACATTATCCGATAAGGCATCCGCAGTTCCTGGACAAACAGAGGACGAAAGCTGTCAGCTGAAGCAAGGTTGGAAAAGTTGCCGTTTTCTGGTATCAGGATGCGCCAGGAATTTTGTACTCCACTAGAAAATGACAATTTTTGTACTCCAATGACTACGCATCCCACACAAATAAAAGGGTGTGAAATTTGACAATGAACTGTCCATACTCCCTTGTGTTACAGGTACCCAGTGGAAACACAGCTTCTGCAATCCCAGCCCAGGGGCCCAACCCAAGTCAGGGCAAAAACTACAAGTACAATGCACAGCAAAATGAGGATCGAAGAGCCAAATATCCTGCATAACATCCACCAGCCGTGATGAACAACTACCAGGACTGATACTTGTACTGGTACATTGCTGTGTTATGCTTAATAAATTATGTGCTTACGTGGTCCTGTAGACAATGTACATGAAATAAACATGCATGCAAAATGTTGTATTTTGTGAGCTTAATAACTTAGAATGACTTGCATTTGTGCCAAGTCCAAATCCAGGATGATGATGGGGTACAAAGTTATCAAAAATGCCATGGAGTACCTATTGGTCTGGACCAGGGTCTGGACTAAACGCTGCATGTGTACCTATCGTAATAGGGATCATAGGGATATCAAGGAAGCAGACACCGATTAACACATAAATATCATCAAGCTAGACAAGTATCTGCCAGCTGCGAATGAGGTTAATAATTTAGCTGTAACCTTCATCAGTCATGCAATTAAAATGAAACACGGGATAATGCAAGTAAAACTCACAAGCCCGGCCACAAAATGAATGAATACACGTCGCAAGGTATATAAAAATACCATACTATACACTAAACACTACACTATACACATGATACGTCGTATTTATTCCTATCTCCATGCCGCTACCCAAGCCGCTACCTACCACAGCACAAATAAGTGCGCAATGATTGTCTTTTTGTTAGAGATGTTCATATTCTGCACAGCTTCTGTGGAGTCGCGATTCAGTTCTCCTAAGGATGGAATTTTAAATGGTTTTTGATCGGGAGACGACTTGGAATCTTTCGACATTTGCATCGTAACTTTCGCTCAAATAATGATTGTTTGGGGTTTAAAAAAAGGAGAAAAATACAACCTTTCAAAAAATGACCAATTTTTTTCAAATAAAGTGCCGCAACTGTTAATATTGAAGATTTTCTGAACTGGAAACTCGATGATAAAACTTGAAGTAACGACCCCGTACTCCTTTGCCAATTGTATGCTCCACACAGCTCCGTTTCTCATGGCCCGGCCATGACAGATACAAAATTGAGCCTGCTTTCTGATGGTAGGCAGTTTTTGGCCAGAGGACCTATGGTTATTGCGAAATTGGTGTTCAAAGGCTGTACTCCGACCTCTGTCTCCGGGTCCTGTGACCGTAGCGTAGTCGCGACTCCGTGGTGTGTGCTGTGCCAACACTATCGGGCCGTTTATTTCGCCGCGCCGATATTTGTGCCGCTGATGTCGGTACCGGCGCGGCGTTTTCCACGTTTTTGAAGCTGGATGAAGTGATTATATTTTCGCTTGTTTTCCATTGTTGCCTGTTTTCCGTGCTATGAGTATAATTGTAAAAACAACCTAAACAACCTAACAGGTTTTGTCTTTTATAATTGTAATCAAGCGTGGGTCGTGGGCATTGGCATTAGCCGTGGGGTAAGTGAACGTTCCACTTTGATTTTGGTCTGGTTCCTTTCATGATAGTAAATAGGTACCATTAAGCTGACTATGATGATTAATTGATAATTTGACTGTTACCTGGAGTGGAGTCAATATCACTATCATTAACCTCCCAATTGTCTTTGCTGATCTAGGTACTATCAGTTGTCTAACAAATTCAGATAATCTTGCTTTCAGTTATAGCTTGCATTACATTACATTGCATGACTAAGAAGTGCTTCCTGGTGCATACGAGAGCACCAATTTTTGGTTCCCGACTCTCGTCCCTTCTTCTAGCTGCTAACCTAATCCTTACTATGACCAGTGACCACTAACCACTCAATTACGATCACATAGTACTTGCCACTCTCAATAAAAAGTTCTAGCCAATCGTCTTGCTGCGTCACTCGATAAACATTGTTTTCCACACTGTATTGTTTATTCACATGCTTCCAATTCTACATGCATAGGTACAAAGAAACACACTGCACAAAAAAAAACACTATGCAGACGCAATTGACCACCCCAACGCTGTACAGTTGTACTCCACTGGCCCAAAAATTTTGTACTCCACTACCAGAACAAAAAAGTGAAATTCCAACCCTGAGCTGAAGTGTCTATACTCCATACACTAGTTTCCGTTCGAATACGGTATGCACTTTATTCAGATGGGCTAAATTGGGATTTCAAGGAACAGCAATCACCGACCAATCCAATTACCAAACGTTTATATAAATACATGAAAGGTTACTGATCATTCTCATTTTAAGAATCATTTTCCATTTCTATCACTTCCATAGTCCCCCGACTTCAAAAACGTTCTAAGACCAGTTGAATCTAAAGATACCCGTGCTACTACCACGAATGATCGTAACGGGGACCCTGTTTAACGATCCCTTATCTCACCACCACAAAACGTCTCAATCCACATTCCCCGCACTTTTACAAGATATTAATAGAGGGAGCAAAAAATAACGTTCGGGATCAATAAACGTGTGAATATTACTGTCAACGACCGTTCGGCGTTAACAGGCGCTCTTTGTCCGCACGGTAGGTATGATCCAGCTAGCCTCCTGAATAATGTTCTGGTTCAATAATCGTTATTGATAAGGACTTTGATCTAAGAGGCGTTGCTGAATCGTATGCTTCTATGCCAGAAAAACAGATACTGATTATTGCTACAAACGTATCTGATTTGATGATGGCAGTGATAACAATTAGGAGTCGAAGCTATTAACAATTGTATATTAGAACACTAAGTTATGGCCTTGCGGTGGAAAAAGTTCGCCAGCATTGCAGTCGATAGTCGGATCGTCAGCAACCGCAATCAGGATCACTCATAACGCACCGCTCCCCAGAGAGAGGGGGGGGGGGGTCTGCCCACCGCGCCACTCCTCCCGATCTGTGAACGGTGTGCGCGTGGGAAGCCGGCTCCGTGGTCCCACGCCGCCGGCCCGGAGACGTGACACGTCCCATCGGGATCGGTGCATTTTTCTCTCATCTGCAGGCCGCCAGTCCATGCAGCCCGGCTGGAAAAGAGCGCTGCTCGTCCGACGGCTGATGACGGCCGAGATACCGGGCTGGGCGCGACGACCGGAGGCTGGCCTCAGAGCGCGGTCAGACTGCGGGCGGCGCGGACACGGAACGGATCGCGGCACCCACGGCACGCCGCGACATGGCGCTGCTAGGAACCATGCAGGTGAGGAGTCAAACACTGCAGAATAGCATAGACGAGGCGGACCAAGAAACCGCTGCTGTAGAGGCGAATGAATTATCTTCAGGAGTCAACAAAAGTATTTAGCATCCTTACCTACTCAGCACCAACCGATCATCTTTTCCAACTCCTTGTGCTCTTGATTTTCCAAAAATGTATAGTGATTGGCTAAGGTTCCGGCTTTTATTTAATTCAATAGAAACACCTACAGCGGCGATGACGACCAATGGGGGAAAAATCAGCAGCAGTGTAGTGCCTTCAGCACACCATCGTGGTGACGTAAAATATGTCTGGCCGATTCTACCGTGGCTCCAAGACAGCTACGGGCGCAGCGAACAATCTTATTTTCAAGCTTCCATATTTCAAAAACACCGTTCACTGTTGAAGTTTCGTTCATCGGTAGCGTGAAATACATAATGCTTATTACAGCAACTTTTGAGGTAACGCAGCGACGTAGGATTACATTTTACGCACCTCCCCTTCCTAAGGTTCTCCCGAATATCTAAAAAGGCCGGGTAACGTTTATTATCGCAGAGTGATCAGCATGCTGATTAATCCGCGCCAGGGCGCATGGTGGTTCTACCGTAAGATATCGAAGTGGGAGAGGTTTTTGCACCCCTCTTCCTTGAGCGGTTCCTAAGCCACGCAGCGACAGCGGCTAAAGCGTGTTCATGAGGAGTTCTTAAAGTCATGAAAAAGTACTTCTAGGTCATTTTCTAGGTCAGGTCAACGCCGAGGTGACAGGATATCACCAAAGGTCATTTTATTTTGAAATTATTGGATGGACAAAGTAGCGCATAGCTCTAAAAATAGGAACTAGAGCAAGAGCATCGAAAAAAAAACATTGATAAGTCATTCGTATGACAAATAATTGACTAAAAGTTAATGGCTTGACTTCAAGAAGGCAAAAACCGTAAAAATGAGGTTGTTGAGGATAAGTTTTCAGCAATAACTTTTGCCATAAAGTTTGCACAAATATTTGCATCGTGCTTTTCTCGTTGAGAAGCTGGGGCATTCCACGATAGATCGTACCAGGCCCGTCACCCTCATCTCTCATATTTGAATGAAAATTGGTATAAGGGGTAATCATAGACTCAAAAAACACCTGCCAAAATATCAGACTTCTCAGATGAAAACTTTTTGAGTTACATTGCATAAAATTTTCTAAACTTCAGATTGTAAGGGTGAGTTTGATGAGCTATAACTCAAAAACGAGCTAAGCAAGCAACAAACGGTAAACAGCTTTGAACTAACGATGAATCAAAGATTAATACAGTATTTTTAAAGTTGGAAAGAAAAGCTTTATATATTGAAAAAAGTCCTAGTATTTTTTTAAATTGTCCCTTGGCCCTTGGGATCAAAATTTTTGCCATTTTTATTTCTTCAAAATAAACCTCAGGTCATTTAAAATCGACATGCAAAAAAATTAGAAAGGTGTTCTTTCTATAAGTTCCTCATTTAAATGTATACAAAATGGGTTTCCGGGGGTCGGTACGACCCCGGCTCGCCGTTTCGCCTCTAATGGAGCTAGAACCTTGCGGAAAAAACGAGCATGTGCGCCGTTGCAAGATGCATCGAATGATACCACATTTTAAGGTCTCGGGTTCATTGGTGACCCCAGAGGTCATTTCAAGTGACCCAAATTACGGGTCCGGTTTTTGATAGATTACTTCGCAACAAATGGTCGCAGAGCCGCGATTTTAGCATTTTTGTGTTTGCCTAGCTCCGGCGCGTCGAATGGTATACTGTTTGTTCTGGTGAAGTTAGCTTAAGTCGCTGACCTCGGGTCAGCACACTGCCGTGTATTTGGCTCCGCTCCCCGACCGGGCGGCCCAGCCGGCAGCCAGCCCCCAGGCATCACGTGACCGCTTCGAGTCCGGGGCAAAGCCAACCAGCGCGGCGCTGGACAAACAGCGCCGGCACAGAGATGGAACAGTCGGGTCAGGCCACGAAGCTGGGCGAATGAGATCATATTGCACATCATTCGATTCGCAAGGTCTTCCCGAGTCCATTGGTAGCTTTCCCGTCTCTCTAGCTCAATTTGATCGAGAGTTATTGACGAAAAACTCTTATGACACTAGTGACGTACGAATGACGTCACGCAAGGTCAACAATGCAAAAGTGAGGCAAAAATGACTTCAATTGAACTTTCAGTAGCCAGTGATGTCACTAGGCAGCTTTACCACGCCATTTGTAGGCTCTCTTCCGAAATCACAATTCGAGACCATTACGGTGACGCAAAATAAGTACATTCATAGAAAGAACACCTTCCTAATTTTTTGCAGACTACTTAATAATGATCCAAAAATGTTTTAAAGAAAATAAAAATTCAAAAAATTTTGGTCCTAAAGGCATAAAAATGCAACTGAAAGGAAACTCGAGGTGTTATATATCAAAAATAGCATATATTTCAAAATTTTAAAAATTAATATTATTCTTTGTTTCAATGCAAGTTCAATGCCGTATAGCATTTGGCATTTGGATTATCCGTCTTAGAGTTACAGCCCGCCAAACTTGGCGCTACAACGCAAGATCCAAAACATGTTATACACTATAACTCAAAAACCACTCATCTGATAAGCCTGAAATTGTTACAGGAGGATTCAGAGCCCCTGATTACCCCTTAGACCAATTATCGTTAAAATCCGTGATATGAGGGTGTCAAATTGGAAAAAAGTGGTACGATCTATCGTGGAATGCCCCAGCTGGAAAATTCGACCAGGCTCAGGTCATGACCTGAGTTGGGGAGGTCATGGTGTATACACCCGTATTGATGAACTGAACCACAGAACACATCCAAGGTGTTGTCATCTCCCTATCTTGTGTTTAATTTAAGGTATTGCAGAGGACTGTTGGTGAACTTTCATGACCCATATGACCTTACGGTAGGTATTGCGTCAGACATTGTGATGTTTATTCACATTCGATGACAACACAAAAGTAAATATTCTAAATGGCCATATTTAATATTCCATTATTTAGAATATTTAGATTAGAATATTTGCTTTTGTGCTGTCACCGGATGTGAAGTTACGGTAGGGGGTCGCGGGTGCATTTTTTTTTTATTTACTTCGGCCCATGGGCGTAACCACCGCGCTGGAACGCTGGAAATTCCAGCCCATTTTTGGGATGCTGAAATGCCGCCCCTGGTAGAGGAAGTCTGCAATTGGGGGGTTTAGTTTAGGGACTTCAAAACGAAACAAAAGAAACGGCACTGCTCGGTCCACTATACGCCTGACCTCAACGTGCCGTTCCTCACTAAAATACCTAACCTCTATACATGCCGCCCCTCCCAGATGCCCTGCCGCCCCTTCGCACCGACTCTCCCTCAATTTCCTCGGAGCTCTCTGTGCCGCCCCTTACAGAACCGCACCGTCCTCAATGTGCCGTCCTTCCGCATAATGCTCTATCGCCGTCTGTGCCACCCTCCCCAGATGACTTGCCGCCCCTTCCCAGAGCACCTCGGCGCTCTCTATGTGCTGCCCTCGCCACAACTTCCCGCCGCCCTCAATAAGCCGCCCCTCCCCACAATGATCTATCTAGCAGTCGGCGCCGCCCTCCCAAGGCACCTTGCTGCACCGCTACGTGGCGCCCCTCCCCAGACACCTTTCTGCTCTTACACGCCTCCCTTTCCCAGAACGTTTTATGATCCGTCCCTCCCTATAACGCTGTATTATTTCACGTACGTACCTATCTATTATCCAGGGGCGTAGACAGGGGGGCCACTGGACCATGCCCAGCACCATTTGCGATTGAAGGCGCCGAAGGCACCCTCCAATCGCGAATATGTTTACAGGGAAAATGCGGTTGGAGGGCGCCGGAGGGCGCCCTCCAACCGCTTTGTAGGCTGTAGCGCTCTAATCGTAGTGGTAGTCGCCAATTTAAGCCTGTTGATCGCAGCCGTCCTACCTACTGGCGCCCTCATTTTGATCGGAATACCCCTACCATTGGCGGCCTCCTATAAATCGGCGCCCTTACCCAAAGGCGCCCTCCTGTAGGTCGCCGCCCCGCTATCCGTTGGCGCCTTTCGGCTGGTCGGCACCCTCCTACCTACTGCGCCCTCCTGTAGAATTTTGATTGCCGCCGTCCTCCGTTCTGGCATCCTCTTGCTGATCGCCGCCCTCCTACCCATGTGGCGCCCTCCGTGGCTCCCTCTTGTTGAGTGTTGATCGGAACCCTCCTACCTTTTGGCACCCTCGTGTTCCCTCCTACCCACTGGCGCCCTTCTGTTGATCACCGCGCCATCCTACCCACTGGTACTTTCCTGTTGATCGCAGCCCTACTCATGCAGGCGCCCTCCTGTTCAATGTCACCCTCTTGGGCGAAGGCGCCCTCCTCACCATTGCCGCCCTCCTGTTGATCGTCAACCTTGCGCCCATTGGCGACTTCCTGTTAATGATCGCCCTCCTACCTATTGACGACCTGCTGTTGATTGCAGTCATTCTGCCTATTGGCGACCTCTTGTTGATCGCCACCTTCTTATCTATTGGCGCTCTCCTGTTCCTCGCCGCCCTCTTACCTGGTGGCACCTACTTGTTGATTGTCGATCGGGCCCCTCTGTCCTATTGGCGCCCTCCTGTTGATCGCCGCCCTTCTACCCACTGGTGAACTCCTGTTAAACGCCGCCCTCCTACCTTTTGGCGCCCTCCTGTTGATCGCCGCCCTTCTACCCATTCGTGACCTTTTGTTGATTGCCATCATCCTACTCATCGGTGCCCTCTTGCTGATCACCGCCCTCCAGATAATTAACATTCTTCTGTTTTTCGGTGCTCCCCCACCTACTGGCGCCTTCCAGGTGAATGTTGGCCGGGGCCCTCCTTCCTACTGGCGCCCTCCTGTTAATTGCCGCCCTTCTACCCATTGGCACCCTGCTGCTGCTTGCCACTAGCCTACCTATTGGTGCTCTCCTGTCGAATGTCTATCAGGGCTCTCCTATCTTTTGGCGCCTTCCTGTTTAATGCTGATCGGGGGTCCTCCTATTTGGCGCTCTCCTGGACCTGATGATCGCCGCCCTCTCAGTCATTGGTGCCTTCCTGTCGATCGCAGCCCTTCTACCCATTGGCGACCGCTGTTGATCGCTGCCCTTCATTTATCTACGTTTCCCAGCGTGCCGCTCTCTTTCACATATTTGATGCCTTGCCTGTCGAAACTGCCACAGATGAGCGTGCATTTAGCACAATGAATGAAGTAAACCAAAACTCTACGCTCTATGCATGAAACCCGTCTTGGTCTTAGCAGATTGATCTTACAATTATGACATTTAGGTACAGGGATTAGGTATGATAAAGAAGTTAATGGGCACGGCCGCAACAACAAGCATTTGAAATTTCGGCGATTGAAATTGGTTATGTGTTATGTGCTAAGCACTGCATGGGTCTGTGAGAACTAGAAGGCTATAGGGGCTGGTCTGAGGTAATTTAGGTGAGAAGCCCGAAGAGGCTAACCCGCTCTCATGAGGAGCAGTCCTGTTTCGGTTTATGTTTCTGATGCTTGTTGCTGCGCTGCTGCTTCTTGTTGTGAGCTTGTACTAACGCATCTCGTGCTCCGGTATCAATCCGATACGGTGATATGGTGTGGATGCCGCCACCAATTAACTTTTTCTACACCGTCACCCATGGGCGGAGCTTCCTGCACAGTTGGTGTGGCAGGTCCCACCAACCTTTATTTTTGCCCCACCAACTTTTCTAAAAGAGTGAGAAGAGCTTTGAACAAAGAACAAATCAGATGTGCTTAAAAAGCGGAGATAGTGTTTGTTTTCGAAAATTTCGCGCGCCCTCGGCGCAGCATTTCAAGAACACTTTGGCAATAGGAACTTAGTGCCTGTGCCAATCACTTGCAACCTTTTTGCCACTGTGAGATTAACCCAATACCTATCAAGTTTCGCAGCACTGTGCGTCGCAGCTTTCCCTACACACGCAAAAAAAAAACTGGTGGCGTGGTAAAAAACGCCCCCCCCCCCCTCCTGAGCGATCGTTACGGATTTCTATCTCGTCACCGTATGGCGCCCTCCTTGGGTGAGGTGGCGCCCTCCTAACCCTTGCCCCCCTTCGCGATTTTCTAAATACGCCGCTTTCTGTTATGTAAACTTTTAACCAGGATAGCTTACTTCCTGTGGCTGCCCTAAAATTGCCGGCTAGGTTTGACGCCAACCAGTCAGAACTCAGATCCCATTGCAATTGAACTACCCTGAATGAAGTGAACTATTTAAGAGTGTACCTATCATTTATCAATCCGGTGCGTAGTAGGGCAAAGTCAAACTGCTAGCAACGGGCTGACCGCCCATCTTACGCATGCATATCTACCTCATAAAGTATCAATATCTCATACACCAGAGCCTTGGCGGGTTATTTACGTCTGCCCCTTATAACGTGTAGTCAGTTGACTGCTGATTATTGCTTTAATTTCCCAAAGCGAAAGTATATTAACCCTCGCCCGTATTGGTGTTTTTTTCAGCCGCGAACGTATAGGGGGGGGACCTTGCCGTTTGGCCCCTGATCGAGCTAGAGCTTCGCGGAGACACGACCGTGTTGCCCGTGACGAGAAGAAGCCGATGATACCCAATTTTAAGGTCTTAGGTTATCGGTTGACCTTCCACGTCAGGTCAATGACCCAAATGTCGGGAAAATCGGGACCTGTTAGAACGTCGTAAAGGGTGGCTGCTATGGAGTTTTCGGGGTGCTGATCACGCATATTATGTTAATTATAATCATAGATGATGTCTTCATGCATTTGGCCAGGTCGGGTCAGGTCAGGTCAGGTCAACCAGTAAGGGTTTTGTCGGGTATTCGTAATGGGTGGCAACCGCCTCTGACAGCTTCGTAACATGCTTCGAAGGCACCAAAACTACTTCGTAAATGTTCAAATGGCTGCTAGATTGGAATTTAGCTCCAAAAACTAACCTAGAAACATGTAAAGCTCGAAAAAGTGAACCGAGGTCATCAAAGGTCAATGACCTGACCTGACCTTCCGGTGACCTTGACACCCACCCTTATGCATGGGAGCACCATCATATCCCATGTCTGAACGCATGAAACCACGAAAAGACCGCAAACGCGCGGCTTATGCGAGCCGACATACGCCGAATCGCGATTCCTGCCAAACATGGTGTCGAAAAGTGGGTCAAAGGTCATTAGGGTCAGGGTCATGAAATTTTCAGGGCAGGTGTAAACTTGATTAACGCGAGGGTACTGAAAGTTTCGTCGCGATCGGCCGCTTTTTACGCGAGTTATCCGCGAAAAACCGAGGGGTGGTCCGTTCGACCCCCCCCCCCCCCCCCCGATACGGGCGAGGTTAATACACAAACACATCGGCCCTCAAACACTCACCTCTGGCTCCCAAAATATAAGTGCCGCCCTTCCCTTCGCATTTGATGCCGCCCCCGGAGGGAGTTATTTCCAGCCCATTTTTTAAGGAGTGATTACGCCCCTGCTTCGGCCCTACTCCCTATTCGATATTTACTTTATGAACGACGACTGAGTGTTAAAATAGTGAATTTAGTTTAGTTCGAAAAAGGAAAAATGCAGAATTTCGCAATTGACAGAAATGGGCAGGTTGTAAAATAATCGGGAAACTTTAAACTCTGAGGAAAAGTTATAGTCAAGCATTGTTGGTGAACTTTTAAGAGCGAAGATGACCTGTGAACTGAGTAGTGACCCGACTTTTTATCTGGTAAACAAATGACCGTGTCCGTGACCGTTAATGACCGTTAACCTTTAACAAATGACATGACCATTAACAAATGACCGTGGACCACCATGCTAGGAATTCGTAAAAACTACGAATGTACATACCGTGTTTGAGATTCACAACAAAAAGCCAGTCGAAGTCAGGCAGGACGGTCTTCCCATCCATGAGAAAGAATGCCTGACAACAAAGCAGGCAAAATTTAGAAGGATCTAACCAGCTCCGATTCTGTGTAATTAACAATTGACATGGAATCCCAACTTCCCACAAAAGAAAACGAGATGAATCAACGTTTTAGATCATGGAAAGTGTGTACCCGCGATCCCGAGCCTTTTTAGAATCTCGGTGCAAACCTTCTCATCACGATTAATCGATACTTATCAATCACCGGGCTGCTGAGATGTACCCGCCACTTTTTGTTATCTCCAACACACTCAGGAACCACCGAATCGTGGGGAGATTATATTCCAAGGTCTTGGTGTAACGGTTCTCACTCATCTTCCCATGGCTGGGATGCGTGTGAACAGTTCAGTGCTGTGTGTGGTTTGTGAGCTGAATGCGATTTGTTCTAACCGTCTCATTGGCCAGCTACAAAGGCTAAGGTGATGTCGGAATTTGCGGAAGGATGGCGTTGTAAACATTTTACGAAACACGGTTGATAACATTTTGAGGAACATCGAACACGAATTCCGCAGCTAACAAGCTGTGAGAAAGAAATGAAATCCGAGTGTTAAAGCGCTATAGGTACGCCGTAATACAAGTGATCAGACAACGGGAAATTAATGGCTCTTTGGAACACTATTTTTGCCTTCCAATATTGCGTTGACTATTGTCTGCTTCACATTCTGAACTGTCAGGGCAGCTCATGTCACTCTTTGCTCGGAGTAGCTGAAATCAAATATGCATTAAAGACGTCAATAGGTTTTCGCTATTTGCATGGTAGTCGTCAGTCACTTTATAGCAAAATGAGTGCTGCAGAGAAAACCCTGCCGCCTGCGTCATCTTTTGACTAGGTATGAACTGAACTGAGCATCTTACGAGGTCGTCGCCGAATTGATGACCATTAGGCACTGACCATTAACTTATTAGGGCGTTTTCAGTTTGCATGAGTACAACCATAGCTGTTATCTATGGAGTTCTGACTGGCGGAGAGCTACATTAAATACAACTGGACAACAATTCTGATGGTATTATGTTCCGTTTCCCAGATTCTGCTGATACTGCTTTTAGCCGGCCACAGTCTGGCTGAGACGTCCGTCTTCAGCGGTCCCCGGCCGAGCGCCCGTTTCATTCCGCCTCCACCGACTCTCCAGGACGTCAGCAGCGCTTCCGGAGGCATCATCGACGTCTTCGTGGAGGACCAGGAGGCGGCGCCGCCGTCTGCAGACGGCGAGACGGCGCCGCCGCCCGCCGACGACTGCATGCCGTTCGCCAGCGTCCCGGGGCTGGTCGGCAGGATGATGGCCGGCCAGGCTCCGGCCACCTGTTCGTTCGCGGATGGGTCTGTGGGCGTGTCGGCCGGCCGGACGCCGTCGCCGCCGGCCGCCACCGGGCCGCCGCTGGAGCCGCGCGCGCCGCTCGCACCTCTACCACTGCCCGTAGGCGCCGACCAGCACCTGGCCTCGGCCGTCCGCCAGCTAGACGCCATGGTGCGCCTCGAGCGGAGACTGAGTGACCAGGTGCCCCTGGCCCCCGAACGGCTGAACACGCTGCACTTCAGATCGGACGCTGCGTCACAGCACCAGGGCCGCCGCGCACTTCGGGACCTCATGGTCATCCAGCTGGCCAGCAACAGCTCCACCAGAGCTGCATCCGCGACGACCACCACCACGACCACACAGAGCAGGTCCGGCAACGGGAGGACCATGCGTGTGACGGTGCGCAAAACCATGGTAGGAGAAAAGCGCGTTCCCGGCTGCGAGATCGAGCCCGAGATCTCCTGCAACAGGAGTAACAAGTACAGAACAGCGGACGGCAGCTGCAACAATCTGAAAGTAAGTTTCTTTTCTATTCAATTGCTAAAATCAGTCTCTGTCTCACAAGGCTGGTTAGTTCATGCATGAACTCCTGTTATTGTTGTCATCGCTTGCAGATGCATTCCATATTTGTGTATGGATCTGAGCCCTGGTCGGTACCGCAAAAAAGTTTACGATGTAGGTATTGCTCCCAAGCTCACCCCGATGTCTCGCTTTCAGACACCCTCACTGGGTCGCAGCGGAACTGGCCTACACCGTCTCCTGAACAGCACCTTCTCGGACGGGATCTTCGGCCCGCGCCTGCTGGGCAGTGGCGGCTCCCCGCTGCCGTCCGCTCGCCGTCTGTCGGCCAGCCTTCTCTCCACAAACGCCAATGCAGATGGCCGCGTGGCCGTCAGTCTTCCCGTGTTTGCCGAGTTCCTGTCGCATGACCTGCAGCAGACGGGGGTTTTCCGACTGGAGGGAGACCGGCCGCTGGACTGCTGCGCCGCCGACAACCACCCGCAGTGTCTGCCGATCAGCGTGAGCGGCGATGATCCCGTGTTCAGTGCCGCGGGCCGGCGATGTATGAGCATGACGCGATCGCTGCCGGCACCGGAGCGGCAGTGCCTCCCGCGGCCGGCAGCGCCACTCTCCCGGCAGACGGCGTTCCTGGACGGCTCGGGTCTGTACGGTGCCACCGCGGCCGACACCCGGCGACTGAGGGAGCTCCGGGGCGGCCGCCTGCGCAGCAACGACGGCCTCCTGCCCACGCGCGACGCCAGAGACGCGACTGCTGAGAACGCCATCTTGAGCGCAGTGACTAGCGGACGGCGGCGACGGGACGCTTTTGGCAGACCCAGCATCGGCTTCCAGGACAACGGCCTGTTTCCGCGACACCCGTTCAGTGCGCAGTTCGGAGGCGTACTGCAGCCACCACATCTAGGGCCATTCGAACCATTCAACACGCCATTGGGTGTACCCATGGATATACTTCAAAATGGACGCTTCGGCGACTTCGGGAACGGTTTTCTGAACGCTCCCTTGCAGCAAAGCACTCCTGTGGATGTAGCACATTTCGGTGCAGGTCCACAATCACATGTAACCTTCAATAACGGATATGTAAGCACTGCGACCAAGATCCAACACCCTACAGCAGGCAACCCACTCGGAAAAACACTAAGTGCATCTTCCTTTCTACAGGGCGGTCCTGGGGACCTAACAAAGGAACCAAAGAAATATCCGCATTTTAAGGGGGATGATAAAATCGGAAACATTTTTCCACGTCTGCAAAACAACGTTTTTCCCTCTGACACCGCCGATAAAAGATCCGAATCATTCCCGTCCGTTCCAAGACCATCAGGTCGTTATGGGCCCCCTAAAGACTACGAAGGCCATTCTGAGAAAAATGATTACCTTCCAAACGGAAAAACACAACTCTTCCCAGGGTTCAATGAAGAGTTCGACCGCCTTTTCTCAGATAGACGTCCTGCAACCGAAAACTCACCCTTCAAGAACGAATTCCTTGGTCGAATCGTTGCGGGTGCGCCAAGAAGCACCTCTCCAGCATTCTCGCCGGCCAGCCAGCCACTGTCCCGCGGTCCACAGCGAGCATCCGCAGACGAGGTGGAGGAGTTCCTTCCCAGTCGAACACCGTCCCGAAATATCGCGCCAGGGCTCATCTCCTCGCGTCTTCGGGCTCCTAGCGAAGTCCCACCGCAGGAATTCAGCAGTGCATCTGTCGATCCGACGTTAAACGAAGTAGCTCCTGAGCGAGGCCCACTGAATGACGATCTATCGATAGAGGTAGGCTCGCCGATAGGCAATGTCGATCAAAGTTCCCTCATCAACGTGGACGTGGATGCCGACGGCGAGTCAGAGACGTCAAGCAACTCATTCTTCGGTCCATCCGCTGACCAGTCTTGCAGCGCTGGCTGTCGCGACTGCACCTGTTTCGACGCAGGCAACCATCGTGCCAACGAACAGTTGCACGTAGCATTGCTGCACACAGTTTGGTTGCGGGAGCATAACCGCGTGGCGGGTGAGCTCGCCAGGAATCACCCGGACTGGGACGACGAGCGACTGTTCCAGGAGGCGCGCCGTGTGGTCGTGGCCCAACTGCAGCACATCACCTACAATGAGTTCGTGCCGGGCACGCTGGGCTACGAGTACGCGGCAACGCGCGGCCTCCTGCCGCTGTCCGTCGGCTTCTCGCCGCTCTACAATGCGTCAGTCGACCCCAGACCGGCCGTCGAGTTTAGTACCGCGGCATTCCGAGCGGGACACAGCAAGCTGCAGGGTATGCTGCGACTGGTTTCCCGCAGCGGTCAGGTGGACAACTCCAAACTGACTGATGGCGCCTTTAACCCGGCACCGCTAGTCGATGGACGCTTCTTCGTGAGGCTGGCGCGCGGCATGATCGACCAGCCCGCCGAAGGCACAGACGCCAACTTCGCGGCGGCCGTGCACGGGGAGATGCTCGGCGGAGTCGACCTGCCGGCGCTGACAATACAGCGCGGCCGCGATCAAGGTCTGGCTACGTACCCAGCTGCGGTGCAGCTTTGTCACGGCAAAACCCTCGCGTCCTGGAACGACTACTCGACCTTCATGGACGCTGAGGCAGTGGTAGAACTGCGTACCGCCTACGCCGATCCGTCTGACGTGGACCTCTACATCGGAGGCATGATGGAGCGGCACGCGGAGGGCGCCGACCTCGGGCCAACGTTCCAGTGCCTCGTCGGTGACATGTTCTACCGGCTGCGCGTGGGCGACCGCTTCTTCTACGACAACGCCGATCAGGCGGGCACCTTTGACGATGCCCAGCTGAACGAGCTACGAAAGGCGAGCATGGCGCGTATCCTGTGTGACAACGTCGGCGGCGACTTTGACGGCGTGCAACCGATGGCAATGCTGCGACCTGACGAAAGGGAGAATCCAATCGTGTCGTGCTCCTCGCAAGCGCTGCCAAGAGTCAACCTTGGCGTCTTTTGAGAATCTGCATCGGTGCATGAGCACTGAGCAGTGCGACCTTCCTCGTTATCAGTGCGGAATGCGCGCCCTTGCCGAGCATTTTCACGAATACATTGATTTGATGCGCATGCATACCCCTGCATAGCTGTAGAAAAGCAATCAACGTCCCAACTTGTTCTTTTTAAACGACAACAACTTTCGCTGTTAGACTGGCGTAGGTAACTCTAATTCTGCTGCAAAATGGTAACAATCTAACTTCCAGAAGTAGTTACGTGAGGACGACTATCGCTTAGCTACTGCATTATGTATACTCATCATGACTTTGCCGTTGATATGTGCCATATGTAGTTACTACTTGTAGCGGCTTACAGCCGTGACAAATTGAGTATATACATACATACATACAAATACATATCTTGAGCCTCGTACCTGTATGTTGTGTATCCACGACGACACACACGACATTGGCTATCAGACATTTGAACTACATTTAACACTTCTAGTATGAAGGTATTATGACACGAGGAATAAATTATCAACGAGGAAACAAGATACACCAGGGCTACAGGGGGAAAATGCATTTCACCCAATAATCAGTAGGTAGGCGCACGAATCGCATTCCGCAAGTTTGAGCCTACCCAGTGTCCTATACGAATTTGAAATTAGGGGACGTTATGATAAATACAGAGTTGATGATGAATTGGTGAAACAGGTACGTGAGCATGAAGCACAAACAGGCTGGAAACCATTGCTGTACCAAAAAAGGAATCATGTGGTTATACAGGGTGGACCAAAAAGGATGGAAACATTTTGAACTCGCATAAAACATGCATTATTACATGCATGTGACTGGAAATGGTACCAAACGAGAGTAGGTACATTTCGTGAAAATTCATAAGGGCATCACTCTCATCTGCTTTCTCTCGTTTTCAGTCTATCACAGCAAATGTTCGAAGAGACCACATTCGCGAGACAGGCACAGAGCGGCCGGTCTGGTGGCTGACGCGATAGCCCGACGACACATGTTCGCTGGTATGGCTCACACAGTCTTGGTGATCGCTCTCTTCAGGTCACAGAGACCTTCCTTGTAGACCTGGCCCTTGAGATGAGATGATAAAGAAGTCACTGCACAGCAGCAAGGTCACCGAAATGGTGTGCCCTCAGCGGAGAATGAATCGTGGGTCCACTTTGGTTCGAGGAAGGGAGCGGCGACACCGTGACCGTCAATCAACAGCGCATACTAGGCGGCGCTGAGGAAGTTCTGAGAGCGAGTCCAAACGAAGCATGGCAGCCTCATCAGTAATCATAGACCTTATGTGGCTCCAGCAAGACGGTGCGCCTCCTCACATCGCAAAAACAACGCTCAAGTGCATCGAAAGCCACTTCGGTGACCGGCTGATATCCCGCGGTGACAGTCGGAACTGGCCTACCTGCTCATCCGACCTGACCCATATGGATGTTTTACTGTGGGGCCATCTCAAGGGCCAGGTCTACAAGGAAGGTCCAGAAAGCCTTTGAACTGAAGAGAGCGATCAGCAAGGCTGTGTGAGCCACACACGTGGGCTATCGTGTCAGCAGCCAGGCTGGTCGCTCTGTGCCTGTCTCGCGAAGGTGGTCACTTCGAACATGTGCTGTGAGAGACTGAAAACGAGAGAAAGCATATGAGAGTGATGCCATTATGAATTTCCACGAAATGTACTCTTGTTTGGTATCATTCCCAGTCACATGCATGCAATGATACATGTTTTATACGAGTTTAAAATGTTTCCATCCTTTTTGGTCAACCCTGTATCACAAAGTTGGAAAGCTATGAGTTTATGGATGATGAAACACATATAACAAGAGTACATTATTCCTGACCTTGGAAATTGAAAATTAAGATTCCAAGAGCACAACCTGTAACCTCAAAGGTTATATCAAACACAGGCTATGGACTGCCCTGCAACAGACCATCCAATCAGAGTTATGAAGTTAAGATCCTATTAGAATTCCTGAGTCAGACACAGCAAGCAATGGAGTGCATAAAGCCTGGACTCTCCAACTTCAAACAGGTGGTGGCTATCTAGCAAAAAATGAGTGCATTCTCATGCACCAGCAAAACAGCTGGTGCACAAGGAGGAGAAATAAGGTGGACAGAGGACAAAAATATGTAGTGGGTACTTACAATATGATTGGTACCAAGTATGCCATGGCAGCCAAAATCTGGAAGATCCTAGAGCAGTACATGATAAATGATGTCAAATCCCTGGAAACATGCTCTTTGATAGCATGAATTCCACCAGATGGTACTGGCCCTGAATCTTCAGGCTCAGACTTGTTCTCACTAGATGATGATTCTGCCATTTTTTCAGGGTATTTTCAACCTGAAATGTAAAACAGCATTCAACTTTCCATGAAGTTAGAAAATATGCATAAAAGAAGCAGCAACAGCTGCAGAGCAATGAAGACAATGATATATTCAAGGCAAGCATGTCAGACACCATACACCATGTTTGATGTTACAGCCTAGAATTGCTGAAAATAAGCATGACAGCACCAGGTAACAGTAACCTGAGTAGGTGTGAATGTTTGTAGGAGTTACATAGGTGTCAGGTAGTTGCAAGGTTGGGCGAGGACAGGTTGAGCTAGTTTTGAATATGCTTTTTCAATACAATTTATTATTTGCTTTGGTGCCCTATTTGGCACAGACCTAACATTTGATTCACCAGATAATTTGTAACACACTTTTACAGCCTTACTTAACACCTAATTAGCACCTAACTAGCACTTATAGCAATGCATGTGTATAAACCTGCTTAAAACCTTTACCTATGTATTTAACACCCCTCGCCATGTCAGGTAGGTACCTACCAGGGGCAGGGTCTGGGGTCACACATCCCACAAGGCCCCATATATGGGGACCTTATAAGGTCTAAAGCCATAAGACCCCACCAGCTTGTCATTTTGTTCAAGGTAACCAGGTACTAACTCACAATTGCCATACATTTTGACTTTGAATTGAACAAAGCAGCTAGAATAACAATGAAACATAGGTACTCAGCAGTCAGCTAGAAATGATGGAGCCCAAGCATGATGCACAAGATATTCCTATGCTACTGCAACAGGTAAAGCTGAAATTTTCAACATTCCTAACCCAAAAACCAAAGCTAAGTGCAAAAATAGTCAATTTGCTTTAACTCCAAAATGCTCTTTTTAAAATGCATGCTATGTTTTGAAAACAGAAAGCGATGGCTGATGGGGTAATTCAATAGAAATCCAACTGACAAACTTTTAGCAATTAACCATAAAAAATTCACATCCTTAAAAATCAAAATCAGCATCAATTTTTATCCAGCCAGAAATGAGTTGACATTCACTATGTTTCCTCGACACATCCAAATAGATTTAACTTAATTTCACATGCATTTTTTTTTATACTATTCACCTTATGCAAAAATGAGCGTTAATATGGTTTCAGACTAATCCTATATTTACAATTTTCAATGATGTCTAAATGACATGATGGAGAAAACCATTTTGCAAAATTTGCAGCTAACTTGAACTTGTGCCGTGAAAACGTAGGTAGTAAATCTACTTGGTAGTGCTGCTGGTGCCTGGCAGCCAGACTGACTATATTGTTATATGACGAGATTTATCCGGTCGTGTAGATATCACACAGACAGTTAAAACAAATAAGAAGTCAATTAAAAATAAAAGAATTAGCTCACCCTTCTCGGCTACTTCCGCCACCTCCGGTCCCGAATCTCAATCTCTGTTCGTTAGCAGAACCAGCACGTTGGATGAGCTCTGCCCTATGGAAAAGCTTTTAGTTGTTGGGACGTTCCATGTCTGTTGTTATTTGAGAAATGGAATTCAGTAGCCAACAGATTCGCTATTCATGTTTTTGTAACTATCTTACACCATAATTTCTTCATGACGCGTTAGCGTTGACTACCTTCTCCGGTCGCCATAGAAACTGATTCTGCGACAGCGTTAGCACAATCGATCCCGAACAGGGTGGTGTTTCACGGTCGTTGCAGCGCATTTCGCGAGCTGACGTCACACCTGTGGTGAATGGTGCTATGGGGCTTGTTTGTGTTTCCAAGATTCTTACAGATAGGTGTTTCCCAATCCATGGCAGCCCAACTGCTGGCAGCGTCGGTGAAACCGGTGAAACACCGCCCGCGGCCCGGATGCGATATATGTGTATTCGGGGTCTAATTGAATTAAGATGAGGCAACTAAAAAAATAACAGTAAAAAACTTATTTCATGACCCATCCCAGACCTTCGATGTTCAACGCAATGCTATAGAAGTCCGTACAACGAGCCGAATTAATCTAAAACTAAGAAGGCCTCAAACCGGATTCATAGTTATCATCTTTATTCACGATGCCTCCTCGCCATCCAAGCTATCGCTACGAATGTTTTTTTCGATGAATAAGCAGCACTGTTGAATGAAGCGGTGCGATTACCAACCCCGTGTCCGCCACGGTAATACGTCAGCAGCCGTCTGTTCTGTCCGGCAGTGTTTCTGCCGACCACCCTGTCACTTACGTCAGTATCAGCGTCGGTAACAGCTATCGAGCGGCCGACAGAAGTCGAACGGTCTCAATTCAGTCTCACAGCACCACACGAACAAATGGTTTGCTCACGGTGCTCTGCTCGTACCGCACAAGACCACAGCAGGCTATCTCCTATTCACGACGTTGACTGTTCTCCCGTCTGCTGCCCGCCCAGTCGCCGCCATGACGGTGGCATGTCCTCGGCGCGCGACGGGCCCGCCCACGGGTCGCGCGGCTCCTTGCTGAATTTGGCGGCCACGGCGCGCCGGTAGAGCTGGCGCACCAGCGCGGCGGCGCGGCGGGCCTCGCGCAGACAGCTGGTCAGCTGCTCGGCCGACAGCTGTCCGGCGGTGCGACACGCCACCAGCCGCTCGGAACCCGTGTCGTAGACGGCCGTCACGGAGCCGCCGCTGCTTCCCTGCCGAGCGGAGACCGTACCGCGCGTTACACAGGTCGGGCCGTAAGGATGGCTGATAGCGGTGCAGCCGTGGTTCAATATGTACAGATGCCTCAAATACGAAAGCTATGTGGACATGCTGTTGAAAGAGCGACGCTGCCAATGTGATAATGCAACCGAGACCGACCCAAACTATGTTACTGCAAAGGCGGTCAGGGAGAAACCGTGTCCATGCATATTGCATGTGCAAATGCTGCAACGTAACTTTTTAATTAACGAGCCCAAATATCGAAGAAAGCTTTTTCCATCTAACCACGGGAACTCCTAGCATGATGCAACCAGTAACCGCACCGCAATCGTCCAGCAGAGTTGAGATTCCTCCAGCCAGTCGAACAGACAATAACTAGGGACCGTGACTCGTGAGGTCCGGGGGTCTGTCGGGACTAACCTGTCGCTCGGACGGCAGCGGGTTCACCAGCACCCGATCGCCGACGGGCACGCACGTCACCGCTGCCGGCAGGTACTTCATCGAGAGCGACGAGTCGAGCAGCGCAAGCACGGCGGCGTTCACACATGTCGAGAGCAGCAGCTGCCCGAGGAAGGGCACACGATGCCGTGAAGCAGGGGCGTAGCCAGGATTTCCTCAAGGGGGGTTCCAAACCTACAAGGGCCCAAGGTAACCCCCCTCAAAATTTAAAAAGTCGTCGGATTTCACGCACTATTTTTTGGAGAGGGCCCAAATAAGTTGAAAAAATATTTATTAAAAAAAAAATGAAAAAAATGTTAGAACTGAGGGGGCAAGCAGTCCATGGGCCCTTGCCAGATAGGCCCACGAATAGCCTCATAGAGTCGCTCAGCCGGTTCTGAAGGCGGACTGAGGGTCTCGTAGGTCGGATGAGGGTCCTTCAGACCGTCAAAGGCCGCTACAGGCCATGAGAGCCTCGTAAGCCGTCTGAGGATCATGTAAGCCGTCTGAGGGTCATGTAAGCCGTCTAAGGGCCACTCAGACCGACAAAAGGCCCCCTTGCACTCGCAAAATGCAGAGGGCCCTGTCGGACCGATGGAGGGCCCTCTAAGACAAACCAAGGGCCCATCAGGTCATTTGAGGGCCTCGGGACCCCTCAGATCGACAGCGGATCCGATGTGAAACCCATCAAACCGACATCGAATCAGACCAACCGTCGGAAACCAACAGATCAACAGAGGGCCCCTCGGGTGAACAGAGGGCTCTCTCAGGTCAATCGGTGGTCAAATAAGACCGGCAGGGGCCCCTCAGAACAGCGGAGGGCCTCTCCCAGGTCGGGAGAGGGACCCTGAGACTGACAGAGGCCCCTCATGTCGATAGAGGACCTCCTCAGGTGATATAGTTGATCACCTTCCAGTTGATATAGGCCCCTCTGACAAACAAAGGCCCCTCAGGCCGATCGGGGGTCCCTCAGGCCAATCGGGGGCCCCTCAGACCGATCGGGGGCGCCTCAGACCGATCGGGGGCCCCTCAGACCGACAGAGGGCCCTCTCGGTCCAAAAAGGGCCCCTCACGCAAGTTGCGGTTCCTTTACACTGACAGAGGACCCTTCAGATGTTAGTCAGAGTCCCATCATGAGCTCGCCTCAGAGTCAGAGGGCAACTTGACGCGTTCAGAGGGCCCGTCGGTAGATAAGAGGGCCCCCGTCCAGCGACCAGGGGCCCTTTCATGCGCTCAGAGGATTTTACTGTAGCTCAGAAGGCCCACGTCAATCAATCAGGGGCCTCTTCATGCGTTCAGAAGGCCCTCTCGTGTATTAAGAGGGCCTTTCTGTAGTTCAGAGGGCCCTTGTCAAGCGATCAGGGGGCCCCTAATGCAATCGGAGGGTTTCCTGTGGCGCAGAGGGCACCCGTCAAGCGATCAGGCGGCCCCTTCATGACTTCAAAGGGCCCTCTCGTGTAGCAAGAGGGCCTTTCTTTAGTTTAGAGGGCCCCGTCAGGTTATCAGGGGCCCCCTCACTAGCTCTGAAGAGGGCCCCTCGAACTTAAACCAAACTATTAGAAATAAATATTAAATAAAATTAAAAAAGAGGCCCATCAAAAATAAAGTGAGTGAAATCAACCCTAATAATTGGGTAGGGTGTACGTAGGTAAAGCCCACATTCATGTGTGGTCCCCCATTTGAAACAAGCCCATCCCGGAACTTTTGAAACTACGAAGGGCTCTGCCGTCAGCTTCGGGGATAGGGGCCCATGGAAGGCCCAAGGGGGGTCCCTAGGGACCAAAGGGACCCCCCTTCGCTACGCCACTGCCGTGAAGGCGATGGTTGAGACAACAGGGCGCGCATGTTCAGCAGGCTAGGACGCCGCAGAGTTATAATTAGACATCGGCGGTAACTCATTGCGACGAGACGACACGCCGATCATTAATGAAAGTTGGAAATGAAATTAATCTTGTTAGAAAAAGTGCAAATATTAGGAAATAAATTGCAACGCTGACTGATGATCGGAATTCGAACTCAGTCCACTGACATCAGGCTTCTCACCAGATCATCGGTCTCCAGGACATTGAGCACCACGCTGACGGCAGTGCGAGGGTGCAGAGCGGCGAACACGCACTGCTCCAAGGTGGAACGCACGAGCTGTTCCACACGACGGTCCTCGACTCCTGCCGGTGCAAACACAAACACGTCACGGGCGAGACACAGACCGAGCGGAGAAAACAAGAATAAAGAGGAAACAAACAATCAATTACTCTCTACCCACCACGACCCTTTCAAGAAAACACAACACTGAACATCCAGAAAACAAGGTGCCAGTGTATGTGACCGTATCATATATAAAACTGAACCAATTTCCCAATTTAAACAGCGATTGAGAGACTCAGAAAATCCGCCTAACGATGCCTAATCACGAGCGAAAGCGAATCGCGGAGCGAGTCTTTCCCATGTAACAGAAAAATATCAGCATAAGCCGCCCGGCCAAGCCTGATCTGTGACACTTTTGAGGGACTTAATCTCAGCATCCCGCGGTCTTTTTGCTGGATAGTTCCGCTCCATCCCTTCCACTCCGTAATTAATTATTTTTCATGCATATAAGTGATCGCCGTGGCATGTTACATGCCAAGTCAGGGTTCCATAGCTGTTCCGCTAAACTACCGATTTCGAGAGGCCTTTATCTCAGCAACAAGGCCGATTGACTTATTTTGGTAAGGTAGATTCATTCCCTCTACCAGGGATCAAAGTCTTTGTAATGCATGAGGGTTACGTACTGCATGTGTCACGAGCAAAATTAGGAGGTGTCAAGTTTATTACAATTAAAATTACTCAGCAATTGCTTGACCAATTGCACTCAACCTTGGTATGCTGGTAGGCACGTCCTGTGTCGGTTTCGCCCAAAAAGAACAGGTTAATCTTCGGCTGTATGGGATATGCGCACAATGCAGGGTCTTGACACAGACTGGTCCACCCCGAAGCCGCAGTCCCGCAGCCGACTGGCCGGCCACCGCCCCAGGGGCAGGCGGTGCAAAGGCAGTCCCAGGCTCTGTCCGGCGGGCCGAGCTCTGCCGCGGGTCGCCCGCCAGGGGTGGGCTCAGGCAACACAATCAAACGACACAATCACAACAGCAACCACAGCTAAAATGCATTCATTCTCATTGTTGGGGCACAAGGTGTGTGAGCAAGCCGCAATAAGCCCCAAGAATTACGTACTGTTGTGCAATATATAGATTGAAGCATTTTGTAAAATTACAGATGTTCACCTACTGATGATACAAAAGCAAGGAAATGCACCA